CGGCAAGTGTGTGGGAATACCGTCGTTGCGAGTCCAAGCAAGCAGGGGACCTGCTGCTAACGCGAACCCACGAAACCGGTGGATGCAACGGAGGACACTGCCCTTCTCACACCGTTGAGCCGACACCGACACATATACCAGCACCAGCACCAGCGCCAGCACCAGCACCAGCACCAACACCAATAATGCCTGTGCCGGTGCCTGGGTCTGGACCCGAGTCCGGACTCTGCCATGTTTGCTTTCCATCAACTAATTTTGGCTCATCTGTGCCGGGTCATGGTACCCAGCTGGAACAGGAGCGCGCTTCGTCCTCCTCGCCAGTGACCAATACATAACCTTGGACAGCCAGCCATGACCAACAGGTCTGGTCATCATCCATCATGCACCGATATTGGCAGCTTGGGTATTATCGGCAGAAAAAAAGCAGCAAAGCGCAAAAGTGCGCCGCCCACCGCCTCCACTCGTCCCGAAAGCGGTATGGCATCAGGGCAGCCTGAGGCGGCGGAAGAAGATGCTTATTGGTCGGGCTCGCCGGGACATCGTGAGGGCCCACAGCCAGAAGAACCTTGCACGGTCTTTCCCCCCTTCACCGCCTTCACGACTCCCTCGCCCGCTTTCTCTGTCTCTGGCTCGCTGCCTGTCGGCTGGCCCAGTGTCTGTGCATCAATGGAGGGGGTTGAGGACTAAAAACGGCACCAAAGGCTGCTTAAGGCGGCACCTTTCCAAACTCCAGGTCCAGGGTCTCTCCCCTGGGCTTCTTACCCGAACCCACTGAAAAAACGAAAAATAAACCGAATCTTGGGTCTCTCAACTATCCTGCCGAGCCGGGCTGCCACCACCGTCCCTCGTTATCGCTCTCGTCCTCGCCCCCCCCTCCGACCCCTCCCCCTCCATTCAACCATCCCGTCCATCTGAATGTCACCCATTCCGCGTCCTGCACTGCTGCGATAACGCAGCTGCTTCTTTGCTGGCTGCACCCCTGATCTGATGCATTCTTCAACGATATTCATCGATGCTCTTGTTGCTCACTAGTCATCACTTGTGTAGGCCGTTCTGGTTTATCAAATCATTTTAACCCGCATGGCTTTGCCCTGTCCGACTCGACTCATCGACCCCTCCATCTCATCATTGAGACACTTGTGCTTGCTTGTCCCCGTCCTCGGTGTGGGCGATCTCCACTCACCGGAGGGGGGCTCGCCGGGGGCTCCATCTCACCTGTGTTGCCATTGCCATGTCTGCTCGGGGGCCCGTAGCACGTTCAGAATGCCCGCTATGCCAGCAACCCCCGTGATCCCGGGAAGCTCCCGGATCCGAATCTTTTCTCGAGGTTCTTTCATTTTTCTCTTTCTCTCTCTCTCTCTCTCTCTTGGTAACTGTTCACCATGCGCAGATCCTTGACACCATACCATGTATCCTTCTTGAGAAATTTGAATATCCGTGCCTCACTTCAGATGAGGCCACGCTCTCATCTCAACTCCCGCCCCACAAATCACCGAAGTCCCGGGGACTCGGCCCGAGTAGCTTGGTCGACCGTCTCGTTACTACTGACGACGTTCCCCAGAGCCTCATTATCAAACGGGCAAAGAAAGGGACGTCGCAGGGACCCGCAGCCACCATATGCTCCAGGCTCTGACGGGCCTTTGCGATGCACCGCCGCGGGCAGCCATGAGGCGATCGTCTTTCAGCAGCGATACCTTCAAGCCTGATTTTCTTGAACAAGACGATCCAGGACGGGCACAGTCGTCGAGGCCGCCGACTTCATGGCAGAATCATACTGAGACAGGTACCTATTCCGGACACGCCATCAGCTCTGCACCCAGCCGGATCCGAGCAGAGTCGGCCTGCCCTCGACCGTCTTTCCAACCCGCCCGAGGCAAGGACCACCGCAGCATCCAAAACCTCTCGATCTTCAGATCCTCCACTCCGCTATCACACGGAGCACGTACGCCGGTCCCAAGGACCGCCATCTCATTTCTAGACCGCTAAGCAACACTTCAACAACCCCTTACCTCGACGGGTTCCTCCTTGTCGTATCTCCCAAAGCTCGCCACTCCCATCCTGACCACACGGAAATCCGCAGAACCCCCCCATCGGAAAGTGGCATGGGGAAAAGCGTGACTTGACATCAGAAAGGTAAAATGAAAAGTAAAACAACGGTACGACTTTGAAAAGCAGGGGGGAGGGAAGCCAACTGATCCCCGACCGAGATCGCCTTGGTATGAGTTGCCCAACTCTGGAGGCGGCCAAGGGCAGCTTCGTCTACTTTGGCAGCTTGGCAACTTGGCTAAACGATGTCGGGCATCTATCAAGCACCCCAGGGCCAACGCGGCGACGAGCAATGGGAGGCATCGAGGCAGGCGCTAGTTGTCCCGTTTACGTCTGCCGCAAACTCAATCCCGTCACGATAAACTGCTGCGACACTACTTAGGGCCTGTACAGAACCGGGCCTCTCCTCTTTCCCCCCACCCCCATCCGGCTTTTGAACTCAAAAACTGTCAGAATCGGGGGGGGGGGGGGGGGGGGGGGGATCCCCGACCAAAACCCACCCATGTCTTGACGAGGCTTCTGGTCCAACTCTGCCCAACCTTTTCCCCCTTTTCCCACGTGAAGGGTTGGTCCCAAGAGGGCGGGTGCCTGGCAGTCGGGCTTGCTTCGGCACATGCCACAGCCCCTGACATCACGCAGCGACAATGTCCAGCTGGGGTGATGCCAGGAGTCCGCAGCCGCGATGCGACCTTTGCAGTATCATGGTGCGCGTGTGAATCGCAAGTCACCTTTGTCCAGAGCAATGGGTCAATGACTGCAGAGGCACGAGACCGGCCCTTCGATAATGGCAAAGACAGGAGAAGATTGGGTTCAATCAGAAACATTGTCATCATTCAATAGCCGATCGCCGCTGCTTTCCGTATCCCAATAAACGCCAGGTACATCAACAGGTAATCATAAAAAACCACCAACCAGTCACTTTCTCATTTCCAACTCCAAAACCTCTCGTAGAAAATTGGAAATAACGAGGACTCTCTTCCTCAATTCACGCCGTAATATGCAATACAAGACCAAGTCAACTCGACTGTTCCATGTCTTTCACCCAAGAACCCTTGCTCGTGTGCCTTTGTTTTCCCGTAGTGTCCGTCCTGCATCCTTCGAGTTAGTACTCCCGCGTTCGGTCTCCTGGCGTTGATTAAGGCAATCCAGTGTGGGAAAAACAAGAAAACAGAAACGCAAGTAGGAATAGTGGTGACTAACGAGCTGTTCCAAGAGGCTGCCGGGAAGGTTCCACGTAAACCAGCAACGATGATCCAAAAGGCTGGGCAGCCAGGCTCCACAATGGGTGATCCAGAGGTTTGTATTGATTGTCTGACTTCCTTTGCCTGGTCTGGCGACCTCAGCCATGCCTCAATTTGGCATCAGAGAGGGTAGCGAAACGACGAACCGCCAGACATGAGTCCCATGGCAGGCTATAAACAATGGTCGAGACAAGCACACAGAGTGACCCGGGAAAAGGGTGTTGCGGCCAAATGGTAATGAGCAGTAGCCTCCCATTCCGGAAGGAATGGCTTGGCCAGCGCGTGGGATTGATAGACAAGGTTGGCCGGAGCTTACCCAAGCATGGGGATTTGTTTCCCCACCCAAAAAATCATGTTCTTGATTCGACTCGATAAGCCGAGCTCGAGTTCTGGTGATACTTTGGGAGGGCCGCCAGGTCAGCAGGCTTTTGTCCTTGGCATCTGTCCAACGGGTGGTACAGCCCACGACTTTGGTCCGATGGTAAGTTTGTCCGGAATCTTCAAAAGGAAATATGTGTAGTCCATGATGGTATTGTATTGTCCGAAGGCTTGAACAGGTCCAGATGCCAGTAGTCCATGGTAATGTTTTCAGTGGGGTGAAGTCCAAGGATATCAGATCCGACTGACTGTGGCGTTAGGAATAAGAGTCCTTGATAAGAATGATGTGTCCACAACAGTCCTTGAAAAGGAGGGTTGGAGTCGTAAAGAAAGAATCCCTTCTGGGATTTCTTAGATATGTACAGTCCGAAGACTCACCTTGCTGTCCAGATGTCGACCTCGCCATTCTATCAGGAAACACCATGATCACCCAGAACTCCGGAGTCCAAGTAGGAAAATTAAACCCAGACCAGGAGAAGAGAGCAAAATGACATCACATCCTACCATCAGGGCGGGTCCAGACAGCAAGGTAGTCCCCGATTCCGGGTCGCCAGCCGCTAGATCCAAGTGAAAGCGCGTCTTTTTTTCCGTTCCAGGTTCCAGGCCATTAACACGTGCAAGCAAGTCACCCATGCTTGCCAAAGGAAATTCAATCGGAGTAGCAAAGTCGTGGGTCAATCCATATATGCAGTCGTAAAACGTCCAGGGTATGCGGTAAAAGTCCATTCCTCGGTGGAAGTCCAGGTAGAATCCGGGTGAAGTCCAGGCAAGATAGCAGAGAACTTGAGAGGTAACGGATCCGGAGTAGATGCAGAGCCATGGGAGCCCCGAGCCAGCGCAAAGCCAAAACGCCAGCAAAGCCAGACAGCGGAGTGCGAGATGCAGACTTGCAACTCACGAGATGGTTTTCACACCTCAAAGTCCAGGGAAGGATCTATCCGGGAGAAACAAATGATAAAAGAAGCCGACGCCGGTGATGAGTCTCCAAGTCCCAGGGTCATTAGGATGAAATTCATAACAGACGACTCGCGAGACGGGCGTCTCGCGCAGTCGGAATGGCTACAACAGTCCATGGGAGGGGGGGGTAACGTATTAGCGGCGCGGAGGGCGGTGGCGGTCGGATTGGTGGTGACTCCTGTCAGACTCCCTCTCACGGCGGGAGTGCGAAGATCCACTGCTTGACACCTGAGCTTTGGAATTCGTAGGGGTGGCGGAGGTACGAGGGGCTGGGGGTTGCTCATACTGTGATCCTTGGCCAGAGATGGACGGGTGGGCGGGGCCACCTGCTGGGGACGCTACACAATCAGATCAAGTTGCTAGAGGGCAGTGAGAAAGTTACGCACCGCGTCCGTACAACGGGTCCGAGGCCACCGGCGCGGAGCCGTAGGCTGCCGAAGTCGAGGGCGGGTAGAAGCCGGATGGGTAGCCTGCCGGAACCTGTGATCCGGAGGAGTAAGTTTGTCCCTGCTGGGGGGCCATAGTGGTGGGGGTCCGAGAAGGCTGTCCAGCGCCGTAAGGATCGGCGGGGTAGCTGCTTCGAGCCAAGTTCGCAGCGGTAGCCATGTAGGGAGGTTCTCCATATCCTTGGGGCATCTGTCCTGCGTATCTGGGGTCTCTAGGGTCCGGTTGGGAGTACGAGCCTCCAGAGGAATACGACGGATACCCACCACCTGAAGAAGGAAATGAGGAAGGTTGCTGGGCGTAGCCCGCAGCAGATCCAGAGTAGCCCTGGGTGGAGTTCCCCGAGTATCCTGGGGCTTGGGATCCTGGGTATCTGGGGGCGCTGTCATAGGAGTCACGTCCTACGTCCGGGTAGCCAGTGGAATCCGTAGGGCCATAGTGTTGGCGTGCGGAATGAGTCTCCGACTGGCGGTACCCTGCTGTAGGGGAGTTAGATCGTCTCGACAAAGGAGCCGCCGCGTCTCGCGAGACTAAGGTACCTCCTGAAGTGTTCCGGGCGGCCTGCTGCCGCCTCTCTGCTTCCCATCGCGCAGAATCGGCCTTCAAGTCGTCGATCATGGCCTGCGAAGGTGTTGCATCAGTATGGTAGTCGCAGACACACAAAGAACGGCGGCGAGCCAAAGGACTCACTGTTGTCAGGTTCCGGTAGGCGGTGATGTAGTAACCCTGGACTACTTGACCAGTCTGGGGGTTCTCGTAGTGGCCCGGGCGTACGAGAGCGTCGTTTCCGAGGTAGCGACAAATATCGGCGGTGATGACCTCGCGGTCGATACCGTCTCTCGGAACGAAGTACTCGTTAGAGCGGCCGCTGGAGGGGGCTGCGGAGGCCGAACTGGCCGGGGGACCGCGCGATTGTCTCGACATGTTGAGGTCTGATGTGAAGGACGAAGACGAGGTAGAGGACGATCGGTCGGGAAAGGTGAGGAGTAAGGGAAGGGGAAGTGAGAAAGGGGAGAGGACCAGCAAAAAATGGGATTGTCGACGAGATGGCAGGAGAGAAAAAGAGAAGAATGGGAGCGAAGAAAGCGGGCAGGGAGTGGGTGGTGGGAGAAGAAAAGGAACAGGCCAGAGTCTGGCTCTTCTCTTGGGGGTGGGGCTGTGGTTGGAAAAACCGGGACCCCCAGCGCCAGCAAGCTGTGCGGCAGGTCAGGTACTACGGTACTGGGTGAGGTCCTGTCCGGCCCTGCGGTAAGTCAACGACGTGGACCAGTGGACGGTGATCAGTGTCGAGCGGACGAGCCTGTGAGTGGTCACCGACACCCCTCCTTCGCACTTTTTCACTACGGTGCTGGCCCGTTGAGGCGAGTACTAGGTACTGTCCATTCCATGTACATACACACACACACACACACACACACACACACGACACACGCACACGCACACGCGCACACACTATCCAGTAAGCCAGTGTGCCAGTGACGAAGGAGGGAGACCCTCTCCCTTCTCACTCACACATTCTCTCTTCCTGCTTCGTCCAGTCAGGACGGCTGGGAACCGACCAGGAAAGCATCAGCAGGGCTTGTTGGCACCACGTTGTTGGCTGACAGTTCCGTGCGGATTTTCCCTCGCGCTGCAACTACACTAGACCCTGGCAACCTGGCCAATATGCCACTCGACCTGCCCCCTAGTGTGTGTAAGAGGGGGGCTAAGGAGGGGTGGCGCTGCGTCTCTGGGTGCGGTCCAAGTCCAGCCCGACCGACCGATGAGAGCCTGCCTGCCTACGTCTACGCCTAGCCCCCCGCCCAAGTGGTGAGGATTCTGGTGAGAAGAAAAGGGGACCGGCAGGGCCAGTAAGAGCCACCTGGCGAGACAGATAGCAGGACGAGAACTGGGCAAGGAGAGGCGGAAAGCGGTTGGGCGGCAGCAGGGAAGCTGGGTGGCGGCCGCTCTGAGTGGACGCGGGCTGGATGAGGTGCAGCCAGAGAGGTTGGGTTGACTTGTCGCGCCCAGCCCAAAAGGGACACCGAGGACTTCCCTGCGTCGTGCACGCACTAACAACACAGAAAACCCACAGAGTTGACTGGGAACTGTTGTTCGGGGGCCTTCGCTGCTCGTTTCTGTCGCGCAAGAAGGCTAATACCCTTGGCACCGTGACTGTGGTGACCAAACCGATAGCGTCAAGCCCAAAGTCGACGTCGATACGGTTCCATAGAATCATGCGCTGGGGGAAGAAGCAAACCCCGAGAGAGGGCTAATAGAGTCGCTGAGCCAATAAGAGGCAAGCAACCCAAGGTGAAGTTAGGGTACTGTAGCTGCTAGATCACTGGACCAGAATTGGGCCGCGCCCAGGTCGAGTGAGGTGAGGTGAGGTAATCGTCTGCATCTTGTCCCAGCCCCATTGTGTTTAGCGAAATGCATGAGGCCTGCGAGCGACACATTGCCATAGTACGCCTGGTTTAGGGCGGTGATCTGTCCTCGCGTGGGCGCAGTATGTACGTAAGGTGAACCAAATGCAACCGAGGCAAGCAACTTCGTAAGGCTTCAGGCTCCCGGGGTTGGCCTGTGCCCCGGCTGATCATAATGCGGCAGTCAAGCAACAGACCGCTATATTGAGTATGCAATGCATTGGAGTGTCCGACTCCAAGCGAAAAGAGAGACGGGACGATGACAAGCTGCGGTGAGATCCAATGCCAGGAGCGTTGTTCACCGGGGTTGCAACAGGCCCCAATCCGTCGCACGGGCTCAGCTTGGTGGCATGTTTTGTTTGTCACCGCCTCCGCCCTTCCGACTGACGCGACATGGCTGTTTGCTGCCCGAAGTGTGGAAAGGAACTGGTAAGCCGAAGGCGCGAGGAGAATGCCAATCGTTTAAACTCTCTCGTTCCCTGGTGCTTGGCTTCTCTTTCAACTGAACATGATCCAGTCCCGTCGTCGATCGTGTAAGTCCTGACACTCGTCCTTTTCCAGGACCAGGTATTGTCAACTTGGCTACTGTTCCCTGCACCGGCGCCTTGAGCGGGTTCGGTTTCGATCTAGACCTCTTGACTGCAAGAACACTCGTTTGAGATTACAGTGTGCCGCTGAGGCTGAAATGCACTCGTTGGCTTGGGACGAAGGGATTTGGGGAAAAGGTGGCTCGTGAGTAGTCTGTTCTAGATTCGCCGTTCGTTTTGGGCCACTGCTATCAAGGATGTGTCGACACAACGGTTGGTTAGCGCAGTGGCGTTGGGACACCCTTGGGCTCGGAGTTGCTGCCACTGGCATTGCTCATGCTTCATCCCCGAGGCACATGGGAAATTTTACTTTTGTTAAACACTCGGACAAGAATGCCACAGCAGACGGAATGAATGGATGCTTTCCGTTCCCGGCAACCGTCCGAAACATGCTGCCGACCAGACGCCGACAAGGCGGGATTCCTGTGGATCCCAAACCTCGAGATATAGAGAGCCGCGGTTATTGCGTGCACGGGGAGGACTACCGTAGTGTAGAGAGTCCCGTTCGTTGCTGGCTTCATTCGCCAAACCCCCGATGATCTCTTGTTTCGCATTTCACTTTGCTCCAGATGAAATGAGGTCGTGCCAGTTATGGTCTTATCCATTTCCAATTTTGTCAACCAGTCCGTCCCAGTGTTGATACCCTACCAGGATGGAACATCCCAGCTCTGAACGGCGGCAATACGGTAAGCAAGCAGGCTCAAGGGCACGAACCAGTGCGAGGCATATCCTGACATCCGTTTTCCGGCTGCCTTGCACCAAGAAAGACCCCGTGGTTATGAAGCGTGGGGTGGCGGCCTCACCTTGGACCCTTGCCCTCGACTGCCGGCCACTTCGTGACTTCAAGGCGCAGCCCCCGTTGTCAGCCCTGTCTTGAACAAGACCCCGGTGGTTGCCGCGATGTTCTCAGTAATTGACCTCCGCGTTGCTGAGAACCCACTCGGAGTCGGCGAAGTGGTCCCTTCGTCTCTCTGTCAACGGCTAGCATATCGCTCCCGGTTGCCGGGAATGCCCCGTCTCTGCTCTAATCCAGCGATCCGCGTCGACCCGCAGCCAAGTGCAATAGGAAGCGCGCGTGCGTGCTTTTTCCCGCCAAAACCATTCCGTGTGGGTTGCTGTCTGGTACTATCGGAAGTTGGTAGCATGTAGCGGTAGTGGTTAGCATCGTTGGGTATCAATGCTTTGCGCCAAAAAAAAAATGTGGCCCAACCCACATTAGCCCAAAGATGCCTAACGCGCGACCAATCAGTTACAGACGTCATCCGGATTGTGACAACGTGACCAGGCGCGACCCAAGCGATTCGTGAAGAGCAGTCCAATCTTATCACGAAACAGCCTCAATTGAAGACGCTGTATGCATTGGTCTCTGCCATTCGAAATGTAACCGCAGCGCCCATGGCTTTCTTCTTATTCTTGAGGCCGCCTGGCCTTTTCTCGTCCAAGGCCTTACTCGCTGCGGCCCGTTGCCCCCGGCACTCCTAATATCCAGCCCGCGTTGATCCGAGTCTGTCACGGGTAGCTGCAGGCGGGAATTGGGATGACGACACTTGCGGGTAGTTGACGTCCAGATGGAGCCATTAAACCTGTTCCTGATGCCAAACACTCTCAATGAATGTACGTCCCCGTGCCGTCAGGCTGTGTAGTTCGCCAAGCGGTCTTATCCTCTTGTCTCAAATCCACGTACGCCGGTAGATGCAACCCAGCACGACGCCGGAAGCACTTCCAAGGTCCGCGAAAGTGTCTCCTGGGCGCTGGCTGCCCAGTGGATCGGCTTGTTTCCTAGATCCTCCTCCGGATGCCCAACCTGGTGGTTGAATACAAATGGACCGGGTCCTGTAATCATGTCGTCTCTGGCCAGTGGAACCCGTTACCCTGTTCTGAGAATTGCCAGTGGAACAAAGAACGCCCATCAGGGACCAGTGCTGATGTTCACCGGGGGCCTCGCCGTTAAACCTGCAGTACCGCGGTCACTCTTGAACCGAGTATCAGGGCGAAAAGTTTACCAACTTCCAAGTCTCGTCAGGTATCAGGCGGCAGGACCCGCTCGACAAACTTTTGGCATGATGCTGGTATCCTTGGACATACCAAGAGAATTCATCCAAACTTCAACTTGCTCTGTCCTTGCTCAAGCTTGCCGCCGCGTCCCCCCCGCTTGGCTGATGCACTTGATGGCTTTGTACCAGAGCCGCGGGTGGCGGAAGAGCGACTGACAAATGCAGGCTTGCCACGTTCTTCGTCCTGGAGGTCTTTGGCAAAGTGCCAATCCTTGTGGCTCTGGTGCTCTTCTGACGTTTCAAAGCGTGCGTTACACCGTGAACACACAAAGGCTGTGATTGGGACCTGATGAGAGCTGATGTGGCCCCCCTGCACCAGGGAGGTCGACGTAGCCGCCGGAAGCTCTGCAGACGTAGCCTTTTCTGGGGGTTCGAGATCGTTTTCTGCGGTTGTATTGGTGAATGGCAGTTCGTCGTCAGTGGAAACGTTCCGTGTAAAGAAGCGATCGATCGCTCCTCCATCCGTCCGGCGCCTTTTAGAAAACGGCATTTCTTCCGAAGTGGATGGATGGCTTGCTTCGCGGCTGCCCTGCCTCAGTGCCTGGGCATCTTCTCCTTTTAGCAAGAAGGCGCCGATGCCCATGTTGCCCGTGACACCTTCTTCGAAGCCACCCACGCTCAAGCTGAGATTGGCGCAGGGCCAGATATTGCCTTCCGCCATGATCTGATTCAAAAGATTCTTTGCGAGCTCGAACAAGCCTTGCTCGTCAAGTGTTTTGCCTTGGGGAATTGGGCCTTGGCGCGACTTGGTCTGGCCACCATGTCGATGGTGCAAGTTGATGGTTCTCGGCCTGCGTCTATTCTCCAGAACTCCCTCCTCGACCAAGCGGGCGAAGATGTCAGCAGCAAAGATCCTGAGCCATCGGACAGCCTGTTCAGGAGTATTGATGTAAGGTCGAAAAGACTTCGCCGAAAGCATCGACTTGATCTGCGTGCGGGAGTTGACCTCGCTAGTGTCAATACCACGGATGGTATTGTGTACCCAATTTCCTGTGTCATGGCCCAACTTGGCTTTCATTTGGTCCAGAGGAATGGCCAGAAGCTCACTAACGGCGTCGGTGTTGAAGGTTGACACTACGTTTTCGCCGAGCTTTCCTCCAAGATTGCGTATCTTTGTGAACTTGAAGCCGGATAAGAAATGGGCCACAGCTCGGTTTCGAACGACGGTCTGTTGATTGGGCTTTTTGTGACCGGAGCCTAACTTGCTGAGTAGCTTATTTTTGGCGATGCCTGCCGAGCATGTGTACTGTAGCCTCTCCAAGATCTGGCCTCGGACATGGCGCACAATTTCAGACCCAATAAGGATCGCCACGTCGTCCCAATCTGGGTCCACAGACTCCTCCTCTTCATCCAGGTCGACGAGGGCATCTGCCTGCCAGTCCAGTGCTGCCACGGAGGGGCCAGGGAGATTCTCAGTCGGGTCATCGTAAGGAGGCGGGTTTGCTAGTTCAGGGAAGCGCTCCAATAGGATTGCGTGAACCTGGGCGGAAAGGTCAAGGAAGACCTCGTCGATGCTGGCTTTTTCGACCTTTTGAAGGTCTGGGGGTAAGCTTTCTTTGATGATTTGCAGAATCTTTCTGCATTGCAGCCGGTATGGGTCGAGTGAGACCTTGTCGCTCTGGATGTTGGCGGCGGCATCGTCACGATATGCCCACTTGTCGTCGCCCTCGCGCCATGTGGCTACGTGCTGAGCAATCAGGGTGGGACAAAGCTTCTTAGCGTCCGTCAAGGTACAATGGCGACCGATTCCATGTTCACGCGCGGGGTAGTTGACGGCAATCAGACCTTGCCTGGTGATATCATTAGTCGACGGAATCATGGATCATGGGCCGACATACCACTGTTGAACTGCCAGAGGTTGGTCCTTTGGCACACCCAAGCGTACCATCTCACATTGTGCGTAGAAGGCATCCAGATCAATGTGAGCTATGACCCGGAGTGGGCACGATGTATTGTATGTTGCCAGTTGAGACAGATGCTTATAGTTGAAATGAGATTTCCTTCTGTCTGCGCCGAGGATAGGAGATGAGTCCCGAAAGGGTTGTGAGGACGACATGGTCTCCAGTGCTGCAGTGAAAAGCCGTTTCGGCACCGGAGCAGTCCCTGTTCGTCTGCCGGAGTTCAACAGCGGAGTCCAGCGGTTGACATCAGGGCACACACGAGGCGAGATGCCCAGAGGTCTTGTGGTGATGTTGGTTTTGTTTTGGGGTTGGATCTACGAGAGAGTGTGCTTGAAATTGGAAGAGGACTGATAAATCCTTGCACTGATAAAATCTGTTGCGCTTACGAAGGTAGGTAGTCGAGGTAAACGCGCTTCAAAACGCGTCTGCTTTCTAGGCCCGACATCTACCTGCGCTTGCCAAAAAGAGGTTTAGCGCAATCAGCTAGTTCCACCACCTTGTGCCGATGATGACCAGCAGAACGTCCATTTGTGGCGCATCAATTGCACTGTCCCCTGTGGGCACTTGCCTCCTGTTCCATGTTGCAAGACACCAGTCGCACTACTTTTGACGCCTCTGTGCAGGTATGAAAGAGAACGCTGTCTTCTGGGAGCAACAAGAACGGCCATACCTCGACGTTTCGTCTGCGCCCCTGCATCCCTACTATAGCTCAAGACGCCTTCGTCCTGTACCTGGGCAGTAGACTATTAAGATAGCTCCCTACTAGAGCACTGCGACATAGTTGACCTTTTGAAATCCAAGCCTCAACTAACCGCTCGGCCAACACCTTCGGTCTGCCGTGCGTTCCTCTAATATCGGCCAGTGACCCGACACCAGTCGACCACCGGCGTGCTCTTTTCCTTCGGACGTCTAGGTCTTTTCCGCTCCCTTTCACTCCAATATCGATACTACGCCGCCGTGATGCTACGTCATGGGCCAGTTTGTCCAACAAAGTGGTACCTGTTCCAACTACTCGGAAACGCCATCTGAAGATCGCGCTTTAGTTGTCTTCTAACCCTGCTGGCTCTCGATCTCTCGTCAGGGCAACCTTTACGGGCTTGCCGAAATGTCATCATTCAGCCAGTCTCCCTACCAAACAGCTACCCGGGCCAGGAAATCCATAAATCAGAGAGGACCCCTCGTATCTAATTCAGTGAGAAGCGAGCTCTTTCATCGCGGCATATAAGGTTTTCTGCGATTCGGTCTTCACTCGGTTCCACGTCGATCGATTTCGACTCGTCAAAGCAGCTGTTGGTTTGGAGGCGTCGAGCTCGTGGAGTTCAATGACGATGAATGACAACAAACGTTTTCCCCGCATTTCCTGCTTTCCCATTCCGACTTTCACATGCAGAAATGTCGAATATCTGCTTCCAAGAATAAAGCTGCTTTGCAACAGCGAGCACACGACTGCATTCGCCGCCCAGGGGCGTATTGGAATTGCCCAAGTTGCTGCCTTGACTATGCCAAGAAACCTCATCATGATCATGAGACACATCCGGCCTAATCGCTTGACAGCCACTGCCTTTTGACCCATCACGAGTTTTGCCAAGTAAGGTACCGTAAGACAACAGCACAATCGGTCTGGATCAGGAGCACTATAGACTACGTCTCGGAAGCCTAGCGACCTGTCTATTACGCGGTTTGGTTTACATGCCTTAGCATGGTTGAATGTGATTCTACCTCCAATTCTAGGGGGATTAACAGCAGGCTCTGACAAACCCTCGATCTCAGACATGTTGGTGAGGGCCAAGCGACTGAATGACAAGTAAGGCTAGCCTGCTAAGGCCACGGTTATACATCGATCACCTCCGATATCTTCTGCAGGCTGCGAGTTGCACATTGCATGCCGCACATCTAAAGAAGGTGGCACTGCTCATGATGTTCAGTTTGGCCTCAAGGAGCTTCCCCGCACCCAACCCTCTTTACTTCAGGCACCTTTTCTCAGCCTTTTCGAAGTTGTCGGCACACCACTGTTGAGCTAGCCGACAAAGGGATTGTTACTTGCCCAACGTCTCGCATGAGTTTTTGCGCGTCTGCTGTCCTCGCGTTGATTTCGGTCAATTCGACAAGAAGAGGGACTGTCGTCTCACGCTCGATCGTGCCTTTTCCCAACTGAAGTCTGGCACCAATCATTGTACTGGACTGGCTATAGAGCCTCGCGACCCCTGTCATGGAGTACGACACCCCACGATGACTAGCGGAGGATAAGGAACGATGTGACGAATAGGGGACGACAGTCGACAAATTCTCTGTTCAATCCCACGCTTTACGTAGCTCTGTGATGGCTGCCGTCATCCATTAAGACATGGAAGCATCCATTGTATACGGCGGCTCGGATCAAAAGTTATTAGTAAAGTATTAGGGTCGTCTGTTGGTTGGCCATCTCTACGCCATGGCACAATGTGTAACAATATTGGTATGATGTAACATCTTATTGTTTGCATCGAGCCTTGTTAAAACTCGTCAGGCAACCGAGCAACCTGAAACTCCCATTTGTGCGGCCCACCGGCAGGCTGGAATGTTAAAGCCACCATTTCGAACTGGTACGATCATTCCGACGGGTTGCCATGGAAGTCTACACCGCAAGGGCTTTGTGACCCCCCTACCTCATGGGCGAGTCTGAATCGCCGAGTATCGACCACGTCATCTAAGGGCAATGACATTGAAGCTTCCCGACAACCTCTTGATGATATGAAATTGATATCTATCGTGGTTGATAGTCCAAATGGGCACGAGTTTTGAAGAAATATTGAACTATTACTGCTGGCTGAGTGGGTAGAGCTTTGGCCACCAGCTGCTTATCGGCAGATAAAGACCTATTCGGTGTTCGACCAACAAGCTGAAGTGCCCATATCGAACCCAACTCCGAGGTGGGTTGTCCGGTTGCCTTTCTTCGCCGCCTTGCCTGAGAATAAGCCACGCTAGCGGCACCTTTGATATCCTCGTCCGGTTGGCTCCCGACTTTGCTTTCCCCGCGGGTTCATTCTTTAGATAATTGACCAAACGTATCGTAGGAGAACGGGGTAGTGCGCTTGAAAAATGACCCTACTTTTTCGGATCAGTAGCCTCTCCCTGGTTAGCTTCGGCCGTCCCGTTGTGATTATAGCATACATCATGTAAAGGGGTTGCCGAATCACCAGAATCAAGGCACCAGATGATCCTCATCTCCAAGCCACTCAGATACCCCGTCGACAGGCTGTCGGATTTTTCGGGGTCATTGTACCATCGACCATCCTTATGGATAGTTTCAGCCACTTCGTATTCATGGAGACAGCCGTAGTATTCAACACACCCACCTGATATTGGATGACGGCACCCCTGGAATCCAAGCTTTTCTCCCATGAACGGTCATCGAAGAAGCGCACTTGTGCGACTCATATGGATAACCAAACAGCGTTCGCATGGGTGTGGCTACTCAGGGCGCTTCCAGCCGGACCTCTATTCGGATTCTTGGTGTTTATGGCAGGGTTGTAGGAAACATCAAGTATACTAATACATGCTCTGGGTTGAAGCATACTCATATAAACCCAGAGACTCGTCCAACTAGATCGGATCATGGTTTCTGCCGGCCAGTCTTGTGGACTTTCACGCATAGTATTTTCGCTTCACTTACACGTCTATTCTCTCCGTCTAATCAAGCAGCTTCTGTGGTACAGATCCCTTGAACTATCCAGTCTCAACCTTTGTTGTTACATGGGCGTCTGGTGTATCTCTCATCACAGAACATTGTGTTGCCAGCAACCAGATAAAGATACCATGTGAGAATTCCCTAGGTGTAGTGTCTTCTCCGTCAGCTGCTGACTCTTGATAGGTCGGACGACGACCACGAAACCGACACAACTCTTCCTCCTCACCGCATTAAATCCATGGACGACGGGTCTTGGACATGCTGCGAATGCAAACAGACAAACAACAGCGCGCATTGCGGGACAGACCATGACGGGAACATGAAGTGTTCAAACGCGCCGTGCAATCACACCAAATGTAAGGATTGTACCGATGCTGACTGAAGCTGGGTCTTCGGCCAATGGACCAGTCTACATATTAGACCAAAATGAATTTGGACTTTGGACACAGGCTAGAATTACCTCAGCATACATTTGTTATCCTCAACGGGGCTTGACTTTCATCTGTTAATTTGTGTCCAACGCCGAGAAACCGGGAGACGGACCCACTGGTCGTCGGCACAGCCCCGCCGCTCTGACGGACGCCACTCCGGACCGGTGGGTCCGTCCTTTGCTGATCCGGGAGACTGCGGACGTCGCTCCAATGCGCCACGGAAGCAGCAAACCCTGTCAAGCTGACAATCACCAACGGATGAATTACGAAGGGTCCTGTAGACCGACCAACAGGTACTCGGAGGGAGATGACTCTTAAGTTTAGACAGCGTTGTACATGTTTTAACGGGCTTGTGTCACACCACGTTTGACCCTTTGTACTGAATTAATAATTACATAAGAGGATTCAACGATAGGTACAGGTGTTTGCACGTGTATATATATCAAAGAAAAACGCTGAAGTCCCTTTTACCTTGCTTAACCCGCTCAAAAACGCCCCCCACAAAAAAATAAGGCCCATGGATACCTTCGCTCCTTGGCTAGTGGCCCCCTGGCCGCATCTCCTGCATCTCCATCTCGCCAGAGGGTTGATTGGGATCAGGTAGGCCATGTCGTTCTCGGAGTGTCTGTATCAGGGAGCCCATTTCATAGTCACTCTGCATGCTGTCGTGGTTGGCGCACGGCGACCCGTGTATGGGTAGAAGCCAATCGACCCAGCTGTGTCCCATGACTGCCGTCCAGTTCCTCCTATAGCCAAGATCCCATGGGTTCTCATCCGGCTCAGTCCTGACAATGGCAAAAGTACGCGTGGCTAGGCGATCGCGCGGAGTCTCGCTATCCACGGTGGCATCCGAGGAGGTCGGTATTCCCTGAGGGTACTTTGATAGAGGATACGTGACAGTTCCATAGTAGTTGCCGGGACGGGTGCTGTTTGGGACCCTGATTGCTAGCTGGTGCACCCACGATTTGCGGAGAGCGTCAATGTTGGTGATGTTGAGGAAGATGAAGCGCCATGAGGTCGCGGTCATCAGGAACGTGAAGAGACCAAAGAAGCCGGCAATGGCAACGCCCGAGATCGTCCTGCCATCGACGGTGCCATCGCGCACCTGCAGTGCGAGACAGTAAGCTGCCTGCGCGAGAGCAATCGTGCAATACAAGGTGCAATAAAAAGTGAACTGGGCGAAGAATTTGAAGGCTACCTTTCATCAGCATCAAAAGCCTCACAATATGCCTGTGAGAGAACGGCAACACTCACACGTCTCCGACACCATGCCGCCGACCCAGGGACAGTAGTGGTCCATTTTGCGTACGCATCGTCCCACCTCGCTCGAATGATGGGCCCGATCGGGCTTCCAGTTGCGACATTCGGAGCACCACTTAGGCCTCCCGTCGCTCTCGCACACAAAGACGTCTTTGCTGTAGAAGCCCTCTAGGCCGGGGCTGTCGGGATCTTGGTCGGGACCGGTGAAATACGGCTGGCTTTCCAAATCGCCCTCTTTCCTCCGTCTACGTTTCTTATTCGATTCTCTCGACGGGTGTTGCGCCTGAGGACCAAGCGGTACCAGACCTGGGTCCATCTTAATCTTGATAAAAGTTCGTAAGTAGGTTACGATCGTGAGGAGGTAGAAGAAGAGGTAAATCGTGATTGTCGAGACTGCGGCGCCGACCTCGCCCCTGGTCCTGTACAGGTAGTCGACTGCAGCACATGTCAGCTACCGGGTGCGCTCTGGAGTCAAGGGAGACCAACCGCCTAGGTAGGCCACGATCACGTAGGTGGCATAGCCGCTTGTGCCCGTGATGATGGTGGGGATGATGCGCGTCACCCATCGCGAAGCACATTTAGTGCTGGTGGCTTGCGACATTGCAGAGGTGCGATCATTGCCAAAACATTGGGAGTCAGGCCGGACAGCGAAATGATACCGCCGTTCGGAGGCGATATGCGATGTGCAAGTCGCGGCGAGGGACAGATTGTGCCGCTGTGTTGGGCGATGCGCAGGAGTGAAGTCGGTCGTTGAAAGACTCGACCTGGTTTGGGGAAACGGGTGGTGACGGGACGACAACCGAGAAAGAGCCTGCGCGCTGCTGGGAGGTACAAGCGCGGGTGCGGGCATGGGTGCGATGCAGAGCAATTTCCACAGGGCCAGGGTGCTGCGGGTATGGTGGGCACAGGGACGGGAGACGCGCTGCAGGCTGGAACAACAATGCATTGTGTTTCGCGGAGGAAACAGCTGGGATTTCGACCTGGGAAGTGGATCAAACTTGCCGTCAGCCCTACAGACAACTTGCGCACCCTGTAGGTATTGGACTCAACCTCTTCACCTTCTTTGCTGCCTCGTCCACACCTCCCATACTCATTCAGTAGCGGACCGACGTCGGTCTCCCCACTGCGAGGAAACCACTGCCTCTCCTTCATCAGAAAGACTTCGTGCAAGCCATTTACATTCCTTCGGTTCGGCAGTCAACCCTCCACCTTCGTTCAGTAACGCGTCACCACAAACCATCGGATTGTGATCCAGAGTTAGGAATGGCCAGCTATCAAACTGAGGAATCAATCGGACTTTGTTGAAGCGACAAGGTTCAGCTTTGCCGAGTTAAGCGCGCGTTGGATATTTGTAATGGCCTTATCTGTTCTTATTCGGCAACGCCAACTTTCCGACTGCAGCTGGCAAGTGTGGCTTCGCCAGCCAGCTGACAGGGCTTGCAACCATCGTGAGCTGGTGTTTCAGCTGCTCCGATACGGAGAGGTGTATTCGGCGTCGCCCAACACTCGGGTGTTCCGTGTTCAGGTTCCCTATGCCGGAGATCACTGCCACTTACCCTTGAAAGCTGGAAAAGGGGGACCGAGGTTGATGCTTAGCCCTAACCAGCCCCTGCCGCCCGATATACCAGGCCGCCACGCCCGAACCTGATCATGTGAATCGAAGAGAACCGCCTGTCGTTTCCTCGTAGACCTCGAAATGGTTCAGCTTACCTTTGATAGTACGCACGCCTGCTCCAAATTACAAAATAAGACGGCATCAGGATCGTCCGACAAGCTGCAAGGCCTCCAGTAGATGCGAGGCAAATTGCACATGCCACCCACCCCTACCTTCGCCTTGATGGCTTTTCTTCAACAAAGAAGAAATATGGTATGCAGCATTTTTGATTGTAATAAACTATGCCTTCGCATCAGCAGCATGCCATTGTGTCTTTTCATGACAATACTGACCGACGCTACGCTCTCCCAGAGTAGGCCTACGTGACCGAGAATCCTTCCAAGAGCTCTCGTTGTCGAGTTCCACCTAGAACAACAATTCAGCAGAATCCGGTACTTCCTACTGGCCGTAGCTTCTGGCATCAACCTTGAACACCGTTCGATTCCGCTGGGCTCCAGTAAGCCTGCTGTCCAGTCAGACTTTGCCACCTACTAGCAACACCATGTACGAAGCCAATCACCTCAACTTTACCCTGGTCTGACCTTCAGCCGCAATTGGACTTGTTATTGAGCCTCAAGGTGGAATTCCAATCAGGGACTCAAGGAGCAAAACTAGCTGTGTGAGATGATCGGTGGGCCAACATCAGGACCGACAAGGCCAGGTAAAAGACAACCTTGTCATGAGGCTCAAGAAAAAGGCCTTTCTGCCTAGGGTTAGGTCGTGAGGATTCTCTGGCTTTCAGCCTGAGGTTTCCAACAACTGCCTTGTCATAGGCATGGGGCCAGCAGAGCCGCATGACATCCTGAGTACTTAATCGGCACATCTTCCCAGACACTTCCTCGACCGGCTGTCGTCCTCACTGACGGTGGCCACCCCGACCAACAGCGGGTTGGTTTCATACCTTCCAAGTATATGATATCCTTGGCCATTGGAAAGTCTCCCGATTTTTAATACCGCAGTCTCATTGAGCTTGTGAGATTCAGCCTAACTGCTTTCGACTACTGACGAGGGAAGATACCGATGGAAGATACCTTGGACCACCGACTATTAACTCTTTTGATTGCTACTACCGATTATCAACTATCGACTATGGGGCCTCAATTACAGCCCTCTCACTGCTGAAATCGACTCTAAACCATCGGCTGTAGGTCAGTGGCTATCGACTTTTCTATGGACTATCAAACGTCAACCATCCAATGTAACTCGGCCAGGTTCTATACCGAGTTATGTTTATCATGCGTTATCCACTAACGATGTCCATGATGAAGACGCAAACGCATATGAAGTAGGGCAAATATCGCGATTCAGTTGTAGGCTGAAAATAGTCCGTTTAACCATTCTCCTGTTGCTGCTAAACAATAAGCACAGATAACCACCACGATACCATTCAATGAGTTGCCCTTGGCGCTAATCACTTAGCTCCAGCAACTGAAGCCATGTATCAGATCAATAACAAGCCGCCGCCTCTGAGTAGTTCCGGATAACTTCAACTTAGACTGAGCCCTTGACCGACCGTCACCGAGCACTCACCGAATCATCACGTGATAGAGCATCGACAGTATCAGAGCCGCATTTGGGCGAGTCTGGGAACCGCTGTACGCGATTACGCAAGCACGCATTAGACACATGCAGCCTTCTCCAACCCCTCTAAACTATTCACGCCAGCGACCTGAGCCTGATCCTCAAATCAACAGAGGGCTGCTGCCTACGACCGAATTGCTTTTGGCTTTTAACCCGGCCGAATCATTTGAAGCCAAGGGCCTCTATGCGATATGTTATCTCAAACCTGTCCTACGCTCACCCGACACCCGACCTGAACATGCATGCGAACATGCATACGATCGTGGGGGTTTGAGACTACGACCAAGGCTTGGGTGGATGGATTGTTTCATCGGTACGGCAGTATGACTCGAAGTCGAATAACTTCCGGGCCATCGTGAAGCCACTAGGGTCGAGTACACAGTCCAATTTAGGGATGCGGCTCTGCTCTGGAGCCTGTCGTGTCTTGGATCAGCCTTCGAACGTGCCTCACAGTCGAAGTGGAGTAGCTGCCTAACTGCTCGGTGTCGTCAACCAGTTTCAGGGCGACCGGCCATGTGCTCCCTTGCAGCCTTCCTGGTGTACAACCGTCGAAAACCGCAGAGCCGCAAAAAAGTACACTGCTTCCGCCTTGCATAGCCGCAAGCTCACGCCGCGAACCCACCCAATCTCGGCGGGTCTCGACGGCACTTCGCATCTCGCGCGTCCCTACGAATTCTATCCGGCGGCCGCCCTGCTCCGTACTTTCGGCTCAAGACAAGGAGTCATCTGGAATCCTGCCGCTCATTCCTTTTCGATTACGTCTGTGGCCACGTCTGGGCTAACTGTCGCGGAGACCTGCCGTCTCAAGATCTGCCTAGATTCACCGTAGCATCGCGTACGAAGACCCCCGGGTATGAGATGCATCGGCACACGCCCCAGGAAAGCAAAGGTTGCATGCCAATGGGAATGAGGAGAGGCGTCTTACCGGGTGCCGGTATTGGTGATGCTCTAGGGCGCGGGATGTTTCGTTTCGTCGTTGCCTTCACAACCCTGTCAAGGTAAAGAGGGTGCCTTTCGAAACAAGCCACGATGCTCACCGATTTGGCCTGCCCGGGACTTTACCAAACAGACCTCATTCACGCCGTCAGCGACTCCGCCTGAGGCTTCATGTGCAGCACCTCCTAGTGGTCATTGTTGCGTGGCTTGGGATCTCGTTAGCCAGCAATTCCACTCCCACAGTTGGGAATTGGTATTGGCCTCGTATGGAATGTATATGTGACGGCGTATAAAGGAAATTCTGTCTTGGTTGCTGGATATATAAGACGACAGGAGAACGTTCTCTGCCTGAGTTTTATTCCATCATCAGCTTCGGCAGCACTTTCCACATCATCTTAGCTTCAAAGACATCTAGCATTTGACTCAGATTCATATAATCTACTCCTTAACTCTCCCAAACACTCTCGTACCATCTCCGCCTCTCGCAATGCCGTCCAAATCTTCTAGCAAGTCCTCCACCTACTGGGTCTGGACCTGTGTAAGTACCTCCATCAAGACAGCAGTGCTGGTAGAAAACGCTGACAACGAGAAGTGTCAATGCGGTGACTCGGGTATGACCACTGCGATAGACAACTGCCCGGTTTGTCAGTACCGCCGCTGCCAGAACTGCGTGGTCCAACAGGTCAGGAGCAGAGGCAAAAAATAGTTGTCCTCCGAGCCATCTGTTGTCATGGTTCTTGTGGCCGCCGTGGAGCCGCAGCAAGAAATTCGGCCCAAGAGTCTTCGGCACGGTCCTCAATAACGCTCCTATGGGGGCTCAGGACGAGGGCCATGAAGTTTGCCCGCCAGGGTTATGAGAGTACACGCAAGGAGGGCATTGATCGTTCTAAACTGTCTTCACGTGTCATTCGTTTGGTTTTTTTTTTTTCTTCTCCTTTTTCCCATTGGTCTGTGTTTCCTGGTTCGGGTCTTTTGGTATCCCGCATGAGCTACGGGTCAGGGGTGGGCAAATACTACCGGAAAAGGGGGTAGTGACCCGCACATGGGATACGGGAGAACTCGATAACCGTTTTCTTGATGTCTTCTTTTTGTACTGGAGGAGCGGAGACTACAGGTTGTTTGTTAGATAGACTAGAAGTCCCACGACGTCCTCCACAACGGAATTGATCTCAATGTTTTGTCTGTTTTGTCTACAATTTCAGTACTCGGCGCCTCAAGGTTGTATGACTGTACCTGAATTATGGTTCACCCAGAACGGGGGTAGATTATACCCAGGGCCTGTCAGATTTACTTACCACTTAGCTCGTGTAAGTCGTAGTCAGTGGCCGCAGAGTGTGACATCTACACAACTCACAGTGTCTTGCATCCCACAGACATGACGTTATCTCCTCTCTAAACCTTTCAAAATCACAAACCAGGCCAATCATAGTACGCTTCTAAACTCCTGCTGACTTTGAAACGGAATTGTCCCTCAAGCGTTGAATTTGCATGCTATGCAAAGTGGCGAAGTCGAGTTCTTAGTTTGCCTCCACATTTGACTGGAATTACCATCTCAATAGCAACAGCGTCTTTAGAAATTGCAATCGCGAGCGGTTCCACAGCTCCCATGACGCGTCTCTCCTCACGAGTCTGCCTCCAAGCCCTCGCAATCTATCCGGCTGCCGCAAATCTCGAATCGTCTGTCCTTGCTGGATGCCAGAGCGGAAGGTGGCCAGGAAGTCGGCAAGTCCGCAACTCAAGTCCATGTCCATCTCCTCAAAGGTTCAAAATCTGCCTCAAAGCGCCCCCGTGAGCCCTCCAATTTGCGATAAAAAACCGGCGTTGCACCGAATGATTCGTCCGCCATTGGGGAGCTCGGCATGACTTCGTCGAGGCACGTCGTCATATCTTCCTCAAAGATGTGCGTATTCGGTCACAAGGAGGCCCTGCATGCGGCAAGGAAGCACTTTCAACACTCCGTCATTGGCTATGGCCGTCGCCGGCACCACGGCTTTTTACAAGAGGAAAAGGGTGTGATGAACGGTGGTAGCGAATGCGTCGACCTACCAATGCCTGTCCATTCCATGTCGATGCACGCACGGAGGCCACACCAATCTGGTTAGGCACGCGTGCTTATTAGAGAAAAAGGGCTTTGCCTTAGTACTTTGTACCTTTAGGGCGACCGTTGGGTGTGGCGCAGCCTTGCATGCGTTTCCCGCGTGGCCTCAGGGGTGATGGTCCGCCTGTCTTGGCCTCCTTTTTGTGCATGACATAAGAAATTCAACCTTTCGAGCATCAGCGAAAAATGCAAATCCGACAGCCCGGAAAGGGTGGGAGGCGCGGTGCTACCGGGGCGACTTCGCCTCTCCCTTACACGCCTCATGGTTCTTTGAAAATGACAAGGCAATCATAAACTTGAGGACGAGGAGGATGACAGGCGTCCCGGCGATGGGGCCTTCTTGGTGATTGGGATTTGAGGAAGAACAATTCCACCGAAAGAGGCGATGTTCCCTCCAAGCCTCCCATTCTCCAAGAGGAACCTCCGTCTGGAAAGCAAGCACTGGCTTGCTTCTCACCGATCCTCTTCGACCATGAGGACGGAATAGGCCGCGGACTTGTGCGAGCTTGGTTGCGTGGGATTCCAAAGGCCGCAAAAGATGTCGTCGAAGGACTTGAAAAGGAACGACATCACCTCCCTTCAGCTCGAGACATTAGCAACTTCTCGTCGCACCACACTCTTCCACTGCAGCTTCCGCAGACACCCGACACAAAAGATATACAGCAAAACTTCCTTTCCCGCAAGCATCTTTAACCAATCTCGAAAATGGCCCCCAAGTCATCCAGCTCCAAGGGTCACGGTAGCTCCAAGAGTCACGGCAGCTCCAAGGGCCACGGCAAGTCCTCTAGCAGCAAGGAGAAAACCGTCTACTTCGAGGTCTGGTACTGCGTTAGTGAACCCCCTGCTCGGCTGGAGCCCTGTCCCTTTTGTCGTCGTACTGACTTGACCGCTCGCAGGACGCATGCAACTATGGCCCGTGGAACCCTGCTACCGATGCGGACTGTCTTAACTGCGGCCACCGACGCTGTGGTACCTGCACCTCGAATGTTATCGCGCAGGGCCCTAAGCAATGAGTGAGTCTAGTCTCGACAGACGTTGAACCATAGAGTTGTGGACGAGACGCCCTTGCTGACTCGGTTATCATGCAGACTGCACTGTCAAGCATCAACTCCATAGCCCACGTTCGGGAGCTTACATACACGACAATGATAGAGCTTGGATGACATGACGCAAGTCGCTTCTTCGAGAGAATGAACATGCAACGGAGAAGACAGGGGGGTGAGACAAAAGGCAGCCGCCGGGCGAGCTTGCCACGGACCGCGAGCGTTCTCAGATGGCCAATCAAGCTGGCTTGATACTCTCGTTCATACCGCCAGAGGTTGGATAGCATGGGATAGACTAGACAGAAGCTGCGCCTAGCGATAGGCCCCGGAAAACAGAGGAACAGCTTTCATTTCTCACTCCTTCCCCAGCATGCTCACTTTGTGGCTGGGGGTACCTGGCTGCCAGCCGCCTCGCCTCGCACAAGTAGAGAGTGAAAGTCGCCTTTCCCCTACCGTAGTGGCCCCCTTTCGCACTAGTCAAACTGCTGCAGCGGGCCGTTAGCCAGCTGCACAATGAAGCACATTACCGGTCCCGGCACCCGCTCGGGAAGTATGATGCAAAGATCTTGGCCCCATATCGAGTCTAAACCAGCGGCAATGCTGCCGCCTTCGGCACCTCTCACTCGCTCTTAGTGCCTGCTGTCCACATCGGAACCTAGGGGGAGGATTCTGCCCAGCAGCAGGACGGACCAGTCACGAGTGAACGTACGGAGGGAGGAAAATCGAGGAAATGACACTACGAGAAAGCATACCATAGACACAGGATGTCTGAGCATCACCCCGAAGTGGCCATGTAACAAGCAGCACTGGCCGCAACGACGGAGGTCTCTCTGATAGGTGGGCGCCCTCGGTATGGAGGTGGTATATCATCTTTCCCCGAAATCTAGGGCCTTTTGTCGCCCGCGAGTGGTGGCTGATGGGCATCTAGCTCAGTCGCCTTGTCTCGAAACGCAGAGTGAGGTGATATGAGGTAACCCGAGGTGATGGCTTGTCCTTTTGCAAAAGCGGGCAACTTGGCCAAGGACCAGAAAAGACGACAGGCGGTCCCCTTGACGAGCCCCTTTCTGAGGATGATTGGCATCCAGGAGTGTGGCGGAACTTTAGTGCGTTGTCGGTGTCCATCTTGTGTGTCCTTGATATCATGAGTCAACCCAGGTAGCGTAATGGAATGGAATGTAACTCGTGGCGCTTTTTGGAAAAACAAGGCAATCCGACAAAATGATAGGAAATGACAGGGCGCTACCGTACTGAGGTCCATTTCCAAAGTGTGACGGTGTGTAAATTGAATAGGTGAGCTTGGAATTCACCTCACCGACGAGGCGATGCCACTTGACCAAGCCACCCCTAGCCCCATCAAACATGAATGGCATCTCGAAAAACTGTTTGCACGTTCACCGAAAGCCGCGCACCAGCGCACCAAAGATGCGCGCAACTGCGCTCATGTCGAGGCTTTCTTTCAATGACAATGCGAGATGTCGCCAAAGGGTTATAAACCGAAGCGCTGTCCGTCAACTTCGAGGACAACAGAAGCATCTCAACAAGCACTCAGACACTCAACACCAAAGACACAAGTCTCTTGCCCAAGAATTCAAACACACCGACATCATTGAATAACTCCACGACTCGTAACCATGCCGACCCCAAGAACGAGAACCAAGGTGGTTTGGTACTGCGTGAGTCTAACACCCCAGGACACAAGGGGCCTCTCCTTGATCTTGACTGACGTCCCCTCTCCCCATATAGCACAACTGCTCCAGCGGCCCCTTCAACTACAAGATTGACGAGCACTGTCCCGTCTGCCAAATGAGAAGATGCCGCTATTGCACGGTCCAGGAGATCCAGGTGCGCGCCGACCGCTAGGTGAGGCCCGTGTTGATAACCCTAACCCTCGTGGGTAAACGGTTCGCTGACCCGTCATCTGACAGACTGCCATTCGTTCCTTGGCGGACCCGGGCCGGCGCGGCTCCTGGGCTAGCATACAGCCCGCCCTTCGCACTGGCGAAGCAGCAACTGAGCACAGGATGTGAAGCTTCTGCAAGGCGCAGGGGGAATCAACGCCCTCTGCAAGGATGACGACGGAAAGGAGGAAGAAGAGAAAGGAGAGGAGGAAAAGGCACCACCCACCGGCTGCTGCGCAGCTCATCACCGCACTCATACCCCAATCGTTTTGAAGAAGCAACAGGACATACCCCCCCACCCCCCCCCCCCCCCGGCATGAAGCACAGCACGGAATTAGGAACCATAGACAGAAAACCACGCCGCAAGGCCGGTGGGCCCTCAAAACAGTAGAGAATAGAATACTCTGAGAGTAGTTTTCCACCCCCTTCTCTAGCAAAGAGCCTCAACAGTTGACTGCGGACGCGTGGCTGGTGGCCCTTTAGCGCTGGCCGCCTCGTCTGCCGTGGGGTGAGCGTTGTCGGTGTTGAAGCTCCGAGAGCTCGGGATGACGATAGGGTGCCCCACTTGGGTCCCCTCTCACCCAAAAGGACCGCGGACGACGGCGGCGCGCGAAAGCTCCTGCCCCGCGCCGTTGCGCACGCGTGAAGGGGGGTCAGAAAGGACGCCTTACTTACAGATTAAGACCATGCTCTGCCACCGGAGCGGGTCATCTTAGCGCGAGGTGGTTTCAATTCTGCCATCTCGGTGGGGAGGGAAACCAGGAGCGGTGTGTGAACGATGGCAGCAATAGAGAAGGAAAGGGATGGGGATGGAGGGAGGTCAGAACGCGCTTAGTAAAGGAGGGGGGTTGTACTGGGCTGTATGGGTGGTTGCTTTTTGAGCCGCATCGATCAGAGCTGCAAAAAGGATCGGAGCCGGTGGGTAGAGCCGCCGTTGCTCGTCTGGTCGACGGACGGTGACAGGCGTGACAGACGCGACTGACACAGGGATCACAAAAAGGACCGCACAGCTGGCGTTGGGCCAAAAGGTCAATTCACTGGCCCAGCAAAGACGTAGTGGCCCCACATCCGAGGCACGCCGTTGCCCGATGCCCCCCCCCCTAATCCCCGCGAGCCCCGCACTCAGCAGCCACGGCAGGCCTATGCCCAGCGCGTCTTCCATTTCTTCCCAAAGCTGGGCGCGCCCGATAAAAGTCTAATCACCTTGGCCGGCCAGAACGGTACGAGACCAAAAGAACAAAGGGACCCCGGGAGACGGTGCAGAAGCCCCTGAGGGGTTCAGACAAAGGCTCAAGGCGTACACGGGAGATTCGCTCACCCGGACTCGCGCCCTGTCTCTAGTAAATAATTCCACTTGTCCCGACGCCGGCGTCAGGTACGCGGGGACCCGACTTTTGTCTGGCTTGGGGGGGAGTGGGGGGGGGTTTGATGAACTGAGGCCAAAAACCAAGGTAAACTAGTAAAGGGGAGACGAACACCACGACGAATGATGAACCCAGCGGAAATTCGCTCTCACGTAGCTGCGCCTCCTGCCAAGTTGCTTCTAGAAGTATTCACCGAAGCTCCTCAAGCCTCAACAGACCGGTCACCTTACCTTCTCCGGATGCACACAGCCGCATTGTACCTTTTTGCAAGCGCTGTGAGGCTTGCACTGACGGGCAGTGAATGACTGTTTTCTCTGGTCAATGGCCTCTTGGATATTTCGGTGACACGATTGGCCCTCGTCCCCTGTCCCGACATCCAATCATCGCCTCATCGTTGGTCATCTCACCCCCCAGAGTCATCTCTCTCTCATGCACTGAAAACAAACCATCGCCGTTGCGGTCTCCGTCTCTACCGATTGTTGCCTTGCAAGCCATGGCTCGGTGAGGCATCCTCAAACTTCGCCGCCCGACACTAGATTAACGAAAACATTCACACAAAGTCACCGAGTGGCATGCCATAAACTTCATCATTAAACGTGTGCCTTGTGTGTATTCGGACCACACTGCCACCATCGCATAATCGAATGATGCCAGCGTCAAAAGTAAAAAACCAAAATATGCCCAAGAGCTGCTGCTAACCACCGCGGGAATGAGGAAGAAAAAAAAAGATGATTGGACCCTGCACTAGCAGCGAGTCCCAGTTCCGTTAAACGTATGCAGCAAGATCCGCAGATTAATAAAAATAAAAAGGCCCAACTTCCTCACTTCCTTCATGAGGAGACCGACGTCGCCATGGCTGAAACGCCCATCTCCCAGTTCTCCTCCCCTGTCGTCACCCCTTCGTCCACCCCCACCTCCTGTACGATGATGTCCGTCCATCCCATAATGTACAATGCCTCCGTTTCGCCTGTTGAATGACCGAAAACACCTTGCGAACGCCTTACACATCTAGACCGCCCTCGTTTGTCGACGTCAAGATTCCATAATGATGGGTGGGCATGACACAATGCCTCGTGCAGCGTGGCTCATGTCCCCTCTGACCCCTTTCTAATCTTGTCGGGCCGTGATGGTGGCCTCGGGGCTCACGAGCTCGGGGCTCACAAGCCGGATCGTGGACCCCAGAGAGAGCTCCTCCAGCGCATTGCGCGACGCCTTGCTCAAGCTCCGGTGGAGCTTGGAAGTCTTGGCCGTCTTCGTCGGCGTCGCGTTGTCGTCCTCTGCTCCCGCAGCCACAATGGTCATGCTCGGCGCCCGGCTCGTCATCTTCTTAGGCGACGTCTTCCCGTACGTCTTGAGCATCTTGCCGGAGCCCGACTTACGGACTGCCGTGGCCTTACGCGCAGGGTTGGGAGCCGTGTACTTCTTGGGTGTCGGCTTCTTCGGAGTCCCTTTCTTGGCCGTTGTCTTCGTAGGAGCTGTCTTCGTGGCCTTGGCCGTTGTCTTTGCCGGCGTGCTGGTCTTGCTGGTGCTGCTCAGAATCGCCATGGCCGACACACGCCTCTTGACCGTGGCCGCACCCTTGGCAGCAGCCTTGGTGAGCAGGCTAGTCGAGGAAAGCGATCGTCGTACTCCCTTGGCGGCCTTCATCTTGCGCTTTTTTGCCGAGCCGCCGGCCTCGTCGTCGCCGACCAGTATTTCAATCTTGCGCTTGCTGGCCTTGACAGCGCTCTTGACTACAGCCTTGAGAGTCGACTTGGGAGGCTTGGGCTGTTTCACTTCCTGAGGCTTCGGCCCCAAGATCCCTCGACAGTTCGGCGCGCCACAGAGACACTTCTGGACGTTCTCGTCGCTGAAAGGACTAAAGTTGTAGTCGTAAGTAAGCTCCTCGCCCGTCATGATGGGCTTGTCTCCCGCGAACAGCGCCATCCTCGGCTGACCGGAAACAATCCATTTAATCATCCGGCAGTTGGGGGCGCACGAGTGGTTGACGAAACGAGCGATGCTGCCCTTAGTAGCGTCGATGATCATATTCTGGTCGAAGCTCATAAGGTAGTAACACTGGCGCTGCGTTAGAGTCACTCATCAGAAGAAGAAAGTCAGTCCCCGCTTACCTTGTTGTCCTTGTACTTGCTTTCCATGCGTTCTGAGCACTCCTCGTCCGTAATGATCTCGCCTGTGTATTCCATGATGATTTGGTTAGGCTCGAAGCATCTGTTGGCGCGGATGCCGTAGCCACGGTCGGACGTCTTGATGACCTCAACGCCGACGCGGTACTTGCCACCGCCTGCCTTTCTGTCTTGAAGATCGGCGAACGCGCGGTTTGTGCAATGTTCTCTGCCCACATTACAGTTCTTGTCATCGCACTCATACAGCATGATCCTGTTCTGGCAGTCCTCGCCGCAGCCGTCTTCGGGCTTGCAAACACACTTGGACTGGTCGAGGAAGTGCGGCGTCTTCTTCCACAAAGAGTGAGACTCTCCAATGAAGCGATCTATGGCAGTGTTAGCAAAGAATTTTGAGCAGGCGCGTCGGGGATCCAACTCTTGGTAAGCTTCCGGAATTCGTCGGGTTTCGGCTGGCCTGGCGGCAGAGGATTGCAGACGTCGTAGGGGAGCTTGAAATCGCGGCCACTAAGAAGCAGACGCAGCCCGTTGAACATGGGCAACGGCAGGGCCTTGTTGGGACGGCCATAGTCCTTCAGCTCCGGGGTCTGCGCAAGCTTCTTTTGCTCGGCCGCGCTGAGGCCCTTCGTCAGGTCTGACGGGGTCGCTTGACCGGCATATAGTCCGCGATCGAGGTATTTCTTGGCTCGCTTCGTCTTCTTGGGCTGCGCTTCAGCAACTTGCTCGGGTTTCTCCTCAGGTTCCTCTTTCTTGGTCTCGAGCGGCTCGGACCTGGCCTTCTTGGGCGGCGGTGCGGGGATGTTGCCATTCTCGTCGAGAATCACGAGCTTTCCGTTGGACCAAACCGTTCTTATGACTGGCTTGTCGTCGATGCCGGCGAATTCCTTCGTATCCTGGAGACGGCGCAGCTCACGTGGGACCCTAGCCATGCTCTTCTCGAACGTCTTGCGACTCCGCTTGCCGAGGTTGGAGACCTTGGTTGCGAAGTTCTCGACAGGGGTGCCGATAAGACGCGCCGTATGGCGGGTGATGCGCGAGGTCTCGGCCTTTTCCGTCTTGTTCTTCTTCGGGCGCGGCGTCTTGAGGCCTCCCATGGACCATTGGAGGTTCAACGCGTCAATTCCGTCGCGGACGAGGTTGCCAGCAACGCGCGCCACGTCGTCGGCGTTAAGGTCGCCATTGACCAGGGTCTCGCCAGAAATGGTCCTGCGCCGGTCTGCAACATCGTCGCCCTTGGCGCGTCGCTTACCGCGGTTTGCCGTGCCGCTCAATTGTGATAGGTTGTATGTCTGCTTTCCGGAGCATGATCGGCGAGGGCGCGCTTCGGACTGGGGATCCGAGGGGGTTTCGGGTGCTTGGTCGGCGGCAGCAGCAGCGGGGATTTCGATCTGGGCCTCGATCTGGGCTTCGATGTGAGTTTCGGTTTCGAGAATGACGGGGACGTCGTCGAGTTTGGGGCCATCCGAGGCTTGGCTGGCAATGTCGGAAATACTGGTAGGGGGTGTCGAGCTCGAAGACGCGATGTTGGACGAACAATCGGTAGCGGCGGCGGACAGGCCGCTCTCGCTGGGGAAAAGAGACATATTGGGTGAAAATACCCAGTCTCGACGCGACTTTGAACTTTTTTATCGTCCGTCGGGCGTCTGGAGGTTGGCAGAGTCGAAATGCGACGCGTTCCAAAATGGGGAGTGCGTGTGTGAGGTGGGAAGGAAGTTGGGGTGCGAGGTCCAGAGAAGTTCCAGACACGAAAAGTAGAAGGAGAGGGATTAGACCTTGGACCAGGGTGTGTGCGGAAACAGTTCCCCCAGGCACGCAGAATTGGCTCGTTCGCTACCTCCTAGCTTGCTCGCCGGGCATTGAGTGGCAATAAGGTAAAGTATCCCCCAAGGGAGTTTTGGTATGCGAGGTACCTTTGCTCTTGTGTGCTGCAGCAATGCGCAGCCGGGTAGAAAGCGGAGGGAGTTTAGGGAAAAAAAGGGGGAGGAAGAGGGACAAGGGAAACCAAAATAGTCTGGCAAAAAGTCAAAAAAAGACCCAAGGCGATTTCTCGAGGTGACCAGTCGCCCGGCTGTAGAATGCGGAAACCCGTAGCTGAATTTTTTTTGATGTTGCTGTCAATAAGCGCGGATCATTCTCCAGTAAGAGTGCGCGTGAGAAGTAGTAGCAAGGTTGACGGTTGCGAGGTGAGGAAGGTAAGTAAGGCGACAATGTGAGAGGCTAGGTGACGGGTGTGAGGTGAGATGGGCGGATGAGACAGACGGACACCCGAGTGAGTGTGTGAGAAAGGACCTGGGCGGATGGCGGGATGGATTTGCTTGAGGGAGGTTCCGTTCCGTTGTCCAGTGTCGTGTTGAGTTGAGAACAGAGCGCGGCGGGTGGGGACGCGACGGAATTGATTGATTTGACGGATCAAGTCGACGTGATTGACCCCCCCGGTGGTTGATTGATGGGATTGATTGCTAGCTTGTTCTGTCGGCCTGGCTGCCGCTTTACTTGCTCGCTCGACCTGGCTGGCTGCCTCGACCTGCTTGAACTGGCTGCTCCCCTGCACTCGGCGTGCTTGTTGAGAGTGAGAGAGAGAGAGAGAGAGAGAGAGAGAGAGAGAGAAACAGCAGGAGAAATGCAAGAGTCAAGTCGTGAAGGTTGAAGTCGACGAGCAGGAACGGAACGGGTCAGGGACTGCGGAGAAGATGTGCTCGAGGATGTCGGGCGCGCAAGAGAGGAGGGAGGGGGGGGGGAGATAGAGCGCGAGAGACAGAGGGCGAGAGGTAAATAGAGAGGGAAGCAAGCAAGCAAGCAAAGAAGAGGAGGCGGTTCTGGGTAAGTCGGATTGCTGAGGTGAGGAACGGACCGCGCTGACCCTTTGTACCTTTGTGTAAGAAAAAAGAGCCCGAGGTGGGAAGGCTTGTCTGGCGTGTTGGGTCAGTGTGCCTACGCCGCGCTCCTTTTTTCTAGGTTGTGTGGTTGTCTGGCTTTCGCCCGGTCTCTTTCGCTCCGGCCTTCCGTGGATTGCGGATGAGAAATGGAGACGGGGGATGGGGATCAGGATTGGGTCAATATTGAGACTGCCGAAGTGGACGCGGATGAACGTGGCCTGGCCTCTCTTCGGGTCTCCTCTCATTCTGGGCATGGTGAGAGCCAAAAGGTAAACAGGACCCTGGTCCGTGTTGTGTTGCCTGTGTGTGTGTGTATGTGTCTCCTCTCTTCTCCTTCCCTATCGTCTTATCCTTTCCTGTCCCGTCTTGCTCCTCGTCCACCTGTGCATCCTACTTGAACATTGAATCCTTTAACCCTGCCGAATACGCTCTAGTCGACTTCGTGACTGGATAAGCCGGGACACTCAGATGAGAGGGGCTACATGCGGCCAGACGCAGCAGTTGGCCTACCCAGATGCGCCCTTATCAAATCCCAACTTCCCCGTGAGTCTCTGTCTGTGCAATTCCCAGGTCGAGGTGTCATCTGGTTGCGCCGCTGGTGTCTTCTCGGACCACCTCCTGCGTTTCGCCTCTACCGTTGGCGCCACTGCAGTGCCGAGCCTCGCCCCAATACAGACATGGTCGGCAACACCACTACATACCTGCGCCCAACCCTTCATCTTGGTTCAACCGTAACATTTTGGCAAGGCTTGTAATGGCAGCTTCGTTCGAACATCACGAGTGGGCGACCACCCGTCGGCCGTTCCTCCACGTGTATCAGACTAGGATGTCGGACTTGGAGATAGATATGCCAACCCAATCACTTTCCGAAGTATCAATCATGATGCTCAGCTACTGGATGACCCTGCAGAGTGTTTCTATAATTGTTGGCATTGGCTGGATCCTGACAGGTATAGAAGTTCCCTGTTTAATTCCTGCGGTTTTGAAGCTGTGGGCAGATCCTCGAGTCGTGTCACACACTCAACCAACTGGCTGAGGGGAAAACAGATATGCAAGCTCAGCCAGATTTGACAATCAACCCATAAATCGCTGCTCTCAAGTTATCGCATCCCAATTGGCTGTATTATGTTCGTTGGTCACCTATACATGCCATGTCAGTCTCATGTCTGGGGTCCGGCGTGGTTGCTGTACTTCACCTACGCCCGGATCATAGAGAATGAGACCTACAAATTACATCGTAGGAGTGTCGCTCAGAAAGAAATATTTGACAAATGAAGACGATACCAGAAGATGCAGTTAAGGAACCGCTGGCCTCAGCTACGAGGTTCTGCGTGAGATCCCATCCGATATTCAGTCCGCTTTAGGGACACATCTTACCAAGGAGCAACCATGGTGGTTTGGAGTAGATGGATACCGACCACAGCAGGTCAATGACAAGTCTCGTTATGGCCCCCTTGGTTTGTCCTGGTTTCTTTCACCAAAGTACATATCTCTGCTTGTATCTGTCAAGGTATGCAACAGTCGTGGTCAATCAAGCTTCTTCGACCTCGTCAACAATGTGGTACCGAATCAACAACCAACTCCCTACATGCCATCTTGGCTTGTCGGCGATAGAAGCCAACTTCCAGGCGATACACTGACAGCCTTCCTATACAAACTCGGCATGAGCATCGTCGAGGTTGCGGTCTTGAAATGCCGCATTGTTCCCGGCACCTGGTCTCGTCGCATGAGCGAGCCAAAAACAGGCCGCGAGCTGAGAGCATCACACCTCAATTGCGTCCCAAAAAGGGATTGGGATCCTCCCTAGATGCATGGGCGGGCACAATGGGCCGGCATCCCATGCTATTCAGCGTCAGCGAGACGAGCCGTTGCAGTCGTGACAGATGTGAGACACCACACGACCACACGGCGAGGAGGACGTCGAGGTTGAGAACTAGTAGGTACCCAAGAGCTGCCTTTTTCCTACAGTTAGAATGACTATCAGAAAAACCAGCGGGAAGGCGCACAGAGAGATGTGTTGGGCGTCATTCCATCTGCTGCCTGCCTTTGGGGACCGAGTCACTCGTCTGGGATCGCCTAGCAAAGCCATTGTGATTCCTGAATGATCGGTGTAATCGACCAGTGTTCAGCTCGAAAGCATTTGTTCGACCTGATCAACGAATTTGGCAGCCTCGGTAATCCGTCGTCGCATCGAAGTCGGGCGTGATGATACGCTGCGATCGTTCATTCCGACACCATAGTTCAGCCCAGCGTTGGAGGGACGCGATGCGGGTCTATGAGATAAGCGCACAGAAACATCACGTTCAAGACCACCTACCAATCACCCACACCGTTGTTCCCCCATTGTCGCCCCTCCGATGAGAACTCCGCCTTGGACAACAACCACATCCGAGGGAAGCGCCTGAATCTATTGGCGAGAGGGTCGCGTAGGCGAGTCATTTGCAGCTTGCACGAACCATCAAACGAATGACGATCACATTGGCTGATGTAACAACTCTGATTTTGATTGTTTCCTATTACAACTTCTGTTACTTTGTGAGATCTTATTCTCCCTCTTTTCCCCTCCCTCCGCTCCGTTCCAAATCGAAAAAAGGCATTTTCGAATTACAACGCCACAAACACACACAAGAAGGGTATTATGGCATGAAACACAAGGAGAGAAAAACACAACCCGAAGCCAAATCCCCTATATCCTGCCCGAAGCGAAAACCCCCCAGAGGGCGGTGACAACGAACCCAAGGCTGTCCAAAGTAACAAAAAATCAACAAGCCGAGGCCGCCGCTTAGGGAGCAGCGGGCTTAGCCTCCTTAGTTTCGGCCTTGTCGTTGATGCTCAAGTCGGCAACGTTGGGCACCTCCGTCTTATCGGCATCGGCGGCCGCGGTAGGGGCAGCCTCCTCCGCCGCCTTCTCCGGCTGAGGAGCGGCGACGGGCTCGCTGTTCGCAATCGCCGGGGTGGCGGCGGAGACGGGCTCCGCAGCCTTGGTCTCGGTGGCTGCGGGAACAGGGGCCTCGGTAGCCGGGGCGGGAGCAGTGGCAGCAGCGGCAGCAGCCGGGGCGGCAGGGGCAGGAGTAGCTTCAGTGGCAGGCTTCTCGGCAGGTGCAGCGGGGGCAGCGTCCGCAAGCTTGACGGTCTGGCCAGTAATCTTGATGCTCTCGCCGTTGCCACCGTAGTCCTTGGGGAGAGAGTCCTTGTAGGCGGGGAGATCGGCGGCGAGCTCAGTACCATAACCGAGAGGGTGGAACTTGGCAATGGTCTTGGGTGCTAGGAAAACCTTCATGCCCTTGAAGACCCAGCCCATGAGGGCAGGGATGTTGACAAAGTATTTGTGGACGAGGAGCTCCGGGTAGGCCATGGCGAAGACCTTGATCGTCTCCGAAGAGGCGGCCTTGACAGCGGGGTCCATGCGCAGGAAGCTGACGTTGAGGTAGTCATGGACTTGGATCATCTGGTAAGGGTCCTCGCCGCCGTCAGGAATGGCGGTCTGGACCTTGTCCAGGCTCAGCTTGCGGACGCTGAGCTCCATGAGGGCAGCACGCCACTTGATGAACCTACACAGGCTGTTAGTCGGAGATCCGCTTGGCGACAGGAGGTATTCTCATGTCACAGGACTGATACTCACTCATCGACGTTGCCAAAGGTGGCCTTCTTATCCTTCACAGCTCCGTAGATGTTCCAGGTGATGATCATCTCCTTGCCCTGAGCATCCTTGTGGGTGGTAACATAGCCGAGCTCGCCGAACTTCTTGTTGTCAAAAGAGACGTCGTCGAGCAGCTTGCCAGGGTTAGTATCACGGCGCCAGATCAAGGCCTTTTGGAGCTGGTCAGCAGCCTTGGAGACATCGTCGTCGTTGGCGCGGAGAAACTTCTGCAAAACGACAGTGGTAGGGACGTGAGTGCTGTTGGAGAGCTGCACACCCCACATCTCGTTGTGCCTGGCCTCGCTGAGGATGCCGGGCAACTTGTCGAAGAGAGAAGTAAGAGGGGTCTGCGTCTTCTCGACGGGCTTCTCAGCAGGCTTCTCGGTAGCAGCTTTCTCCTGGGCATTTTCTTCCGTCTTTTGGCCGGTGGGAGCTGGCTGCTCGGTCTGCTGCTGCTGGGCGGCGGCATCGGCGGTAGCAGCGGGAGCCGGAGTCGGGTCTGCAGCCGGCTCAGCGGCGACCGGCTGAGACTCAGGAACTGCAGCAGGCGCAGGTGCGGTAGCAGGAGCAGTGGCCGGGACGGCCGTGTCGGTAGTTTGAGCAGACATGATGGGCTGCTTGAGTAGAATGAGTCTAGGGGTGTATGTGTGTGAGGAGGAGAAAAAGGGAGAGAGAGGGAGAGAGTGTGCGTGGGCGTTTGTGAAAGTGAAGGCAACAGTAAGCGTCTGAAATTTCGAAGTGACAGCTCCTGGCGTCCTTTTCGTTGGACGGGGAGGGGAAAAAGTTCAGGCCGGGGGTTCTTTCTCGTATGGGACCCCTCTCACTGCAAAGTCGCGTCAAGTGGCCTCAGGTGTGTGTGAGGTCCAGGTAATAGCGTGTGCGAGTCTGTGAGCGTGTATCCCGTAATGTTGTGGATTGGTTATTTTTTTTTCCAAAGTGAGCGTGCTGGATGACAAGGCAGGTACGATCAGGAAAGGGTGAGGGTGGGAGGCGCGCCGGGGGACTAAAAAGTAATCTGATGGGCACGGGAAAGCGGCAGCAACAAACAGACCACACACACCAGATGGGCGATGGAACAGCAACGGGAAAAGAGCAACGGAACCTAAGATCAGAATCGACACACCCTAGCCCAATCACTCAGGTCCTCCCTCGAGTACCGTACCTATGATTTACGTACGCGGTAGATGGTATCTGTACTTTGCACAATCGCTCTCACCTCCCTGGTGCTCCGTGCGTTGCCTCCGAGGCACTCGAGGTACCGCCAATCCAATCCAGTCGTTTTCCACACATGCACGTACACACACACACACACTCTCTCTCTCTCTCTCTCTCTCTTTCTCTTTCTCTCTCTATCCCTCGCCTTCCCTCGCTCGCTGCCTGGCTATCCACCTCAATTCAACTCGCCTCCAGTCCAATCCCAATTCAAATCAATCTAAAAGCTGGGCGGGGGCTCGTTCACGGTGTTCTGGCCTGTGCAGATGGGAGAGTGGAGTGGGGATGGACCCCCTTTTTCGAAAGTGATTTGCGCCCTCTGTTTCGATAATCGACGGTGCTTGGATGGGCCCTAGTCCTGCCCATGTTACTCCTGTTCAAGGAGCGTTTCTTCTCCTCCCCACCCTGCCTACCGGACAAGGCACTTGTTGATTCTATGCCGGCTTGGTTCTCGACCTTCCCTGGATGTTAAAGTGAGAAAGGACCGGCGCCTGGGCATGTCATCTCTACGGATCCCACATCGCCAGTCGCTCTCGGGACTACTCCGTAATGACCTGATCGATGTGACCTTGTTGTCCGTGGCCGAAATGCAGAAAGGGGACCGGTCCTGGAACCGACGTCGGCGAGGTACCGTTCACTCGCATTACGAGACACCTCCTTCGCGCCTTACGGCCAAGCACTCACCCACACAATACAACAGCCTCCATCAGCTGCTGCATCTCATCAAACTCACCCTGCCTCCCATTGTCCAACCGCCGGGATACTATGTACATGTGCAATGCCAGCGTGCTCCGCCGCAATAAGCCGCGTCGGGATTATCATGAGCCAGCTATCCCGCATCGTCGATATTTCGGTGGGGCCTTCTTCTTCTTGTCTCCTTGTCACAGACCACCCATCGTTGGTGCAACGCTTTTCCCCCAATGCCAATGCTGTCCAGTCGCGTTATGAATCGTCTCCCAAGCCGCCTAAAAAGCACCACGGAAAATACCTTGGGATAAAAAGTACATGGGCCCGCCCTTGGCCCGTGCCTGTTCCCGCCAACAAACAGCCCATCGTTGGAAAACACACACTAAAAACCGCCGTAGCGGGGCGGCAGAGTGCTTGCAAAGGTGCTAAAACATGCCCACTCGCCCACTATCGACCTGTGCTTGCAGATGATGGGACCAGCTGCCGCACGATGCCGGGCGATGCCGCCATGGTACCTGCAGTGCAACTCCACTCCGTCGCAGCATTTGACTGGTTCGCCAATATGGGCTTGGCGTTCGTTGCTGCTGACTACTCCATTCGCCAACTTCAACCTCACCACACACATGGCTCACGTCACCCGGGGCAGCCTACGCCGCACCCCACGCCGTCAAAGACGCCTTATGCCAATTCCGCGCCGACCTAGGTACGCCGCATCTCCAACGAAGGGCACGGGGCACTTAGACCCGGCTAGAACAAAGAATCAAGTGAAACGAGGCTAGAAGGCGCAGGGAACCACGCCAGAGTCCTTATTGATCGGGTATAGAGAGCCGCCTCGAACCCCTACCTCACTACGGCAACCCATCTCCAAAGTTGATCCCCTGCCTTTGAAAGAATCCCAGAAACAACATTTCCGTCCTGGTGTCAGGCTGAGACAACCCAAACAGCCCGTTTTTTTGTTCCTCGAACCTCTCTATCCTGTGTCTGACTCGTCCAACCCGCAAAGATAGAGTCCAAGAAACAACCATGTGAAGCAAATTCCTGAGAAACCGACCTCAAACGAGGACACCACAGACCGGGAAGTGCACAGATGCAGAGCAATATATGTCATTCCATTGACGAGCTCATCTCAGCACTCAAGCTTGCTTCTTGTTGTTTCCCGTCTGCCATATTCGATATTACTGGACGTTAGTATGAGTCAATGCGCGACGAATGATCGACTCCATCGTCTGATACTCGTGCATGGCAAGCTGCGCCAGAGTCATTCTGTCAAAGTCAGGACCCGCGGGGTGGTTCAGCTCGCGCCAGAAGAAGCCAAAGTAGGCATCCGTCTCGTTGCCAACGGTACGGGTTTGCACCTTGTCCTGGAACGACTGCATCTCCAGGAAACGGCTGGTCTCCTCGCGGATGATGGCAACGTACCACTACCGAACAGAACAGTCAGCTCGCAGTCACTAGCCTTGCAGGCTTTACCCCATCAATCGTAAAGGTGGGAAGTAGATGACTTACCTCGATCACGTCCAAAGGAACGCCTGTCTTGGGAACCAGCACGTAAAGGTGGCGCCAGGCCTCGGCAAAGCGCGGCTGACCGAAGGCGCGCTGCCCCATCTCGTCCATGCCGACCAGGTAGGCAATATCGTCCTTCTGGAGAGCTGAGAAGCCCTCGCAACGCATCGCCGCGGTAACGACCCGCTTGAGCAGGCGATGAGTAAGGTTGAGCTCGTCGCGCCTCTCTTGAATGCTGCTCACCAGGATTCTGATGAGATCGCAGGTCGCTTTGTGAATGGCGTGGCGCTGCTGGACAGTAACGTTCGCCTTCATATGCCAAGGGAACTTGGTGAGGGTGCTGATGAGACACTCGAAAGGTCGCTGAGGGCACTCCTTGGAGAAAGGGGACTGCAAACGTGTCAGCTGCAACTCCATCAATACCTCGTTCTGGAAAACTCACTCGATGGGGCACCTCGACGTGCTTCACAAGCATCGTCATCTCCTCGTTGGACACGAAGCCCTTGAAATTGCCCCAAGGCTCCTCGTCGTTGTTGGGGAGGATCTGGGGATTGGTTCCGGCCCAGAAGACACCCTTGGCAGACGGGAACAAGTCCTTCATGAGGGCAGCCTGGCTCGAGAGCTCAATATCAACTGGACGCTGGCCGATGCGAGTGGCACGGCCACGGCCAATGTTTTGCTGATACTTCTCGACAGCCTTGGAAGCATCCTCCAGAGTATGGAACTCGACATACGCATCCGTCGTCTTGCCGGTTATGCGCTCCATGATGATGTGGACAGGCTCTTCCGTATCGTTAAGGATGCGGGAGTTGCGGCCGAGGACGGCGATGATCTCGGCCCGGTTAGTAATGAACGGAATCTATTTATACGTCAGTCTCTATCTGGGTTTCCTCAGGGTTACATCTCAGGGGCTCACGTACGTTTCCAATCTTGACGACACCTCGAACCACAAAGTGAGCAGGGCGAGTGGCAGGCTCGACAAACGGGAAGTTGGCCTCATGCAGTGCAATCTGGGCGGTAGGAAGGCCCGTGGGGCCAGCCGTAAGTCTGTTCAACTCCGCTGATCGTTGAGCACGGATGTAATCGGTAACGGGGGCACCATAAGACATAGCAGCGTTCTGAATTGGATAACCAAGCTGATAGGGGACGAGCGTTGCGTTGTTTCCCGCGAGAGGTTGGTAAGGTCCTGCCCGCATGTTGACGAGAGCGTTGCTGTCACCGACTTGCTGGACAGGCACGCCTTGAGCAGTGACGCCTCTAGAAGCGAGGTCCTGAGCAGTTGAACCCTGGGTGGTCATGTTCTGGGTCGTATGGGCGTTCATGACATGACCTCCGTTGCCAAAGAAGATTTGCGGAACCTGATTGATCTGGACATCGTTCAGGGTAGATTGCGCATAGTCGGCGCGAGTGAGATCATCAAAGTTCAGGGTCTCGCCCGTGGGGGCGGGGAATGGAATCTGCCCAGTCGCGAGCAAATGGGTGGTGTCGATCTGCAAACCGAAGATGGGCTGCTGAACTGAGCCTCCCTGAGAGTTGGGAACAATGAACGGGTCCTGCGCATCCGCCGCGGGAGCGTTGTTACCGTGCAGGTCATTCTCCAAGTTGAACTTGGGAGGAGCACCGAGGCGAGCAAGGTTCGTAGTGGTGCGCGGGGCGAAGTTACGAGGCTCCGTCATAAGACCATTGTTTTTGACTGCCTTGGAAGTGTCGCTGCCGGGACTGACGACAGCAGAGTGATTATCGGCTTCGTTGCCTCCCTGGCTGTACTGCAAGCCATTGCTGTGCTGGTGAACCAGGTTTGGATGATCAAGGCTGCCCATAGAGGCGCTGCCACTGAGCTGACCATAGGTCGCCATCATGGGGATGGACTGGCCGTTCTGGTAGCTAGCAGAGACGACCTGAGAGTTGTTCATCGTAGGCTGAGCGGCGTGACGTTCGTTCATGGCTAGAACAACAGGGTAAGAACCAGTGCTGTTCAAAACATTGGTGTAGAGGGAGTGCTTGGGGGAGTTTGCGCGACCTGAGACCTCAACGTGACACTTGGTAGTAGGAATGGATTGATTCTGAAGGTGCTGGCCGTTATAAGAAGTCGTGTTGTCAGTGATGTTGAGCTTCGGAGTCCCGTCAAGCTCAGCAATTTCAGGCTGATCGATCTGAAAATGAGTGTTAATTGGAATGGCCCAATTGAAAAAAATCCCAATCCGTCAGACCAACGTACCTTGCTGATGTTGTGGCGAGAGTTACTGGTTGTAGGGACCCAAGTGGGGGATGAAGGGTTGAGGTTGGAGGAAGTCTTCGCCTTGCCCTGGCCTTGGTTCTTATCCGAGTTGGTGCTGTAGGGGGCACCATCAAGGCGGGCACCGCCAGGCTCCTTGTCGTACTCGCTGTCCTCGACAACGACCTCGGGTAAGTCACTGGACGTGAAACCACCCTGGCGAACCATGTCGCGAAGCTGGTTCCGCATCGTGAAATGATCCATCTCGACTCCTTTCTTACCAATAGGCTTGGAATAGACCATAGTGTACAGTAGTGAAGGGTGTGATCGTTGCTCTTGAACAAAGGTAACAAGAAAGGTGACGATATGCAAAGTGTGTCAGAGGCAACAGTCAACGTGAATACGTTTGGTGACAGTAGTACTCTGGAATGACAACGTTAGTGACTGAGCTTAAAATGTGAAGCCTGAATAACAAAATTAGGGAACGGCATAAGGGCGGATGTAACCTGATAAAAATGGGAGTGAAGAGGTCAGCTAAAGAGAATGGAGAAAGAAAAGGATCCCGAATTGGGACGAAAACAATGAAGTGAGAAGCGCGCTAGGAAGAAAAGCAGCAAGTTCAGGAAGGTGAGCAGGAGAGCTTTGACGATAGACGGATAACTACATTTCTCAGAGACGTTTGACTGTGAGGTGAGTTGATTGTGTAGTGAGGTGGTTTGAGGGAAAGAGAGAAGGGCCTCACCAGCCAGCTAAATGAGGCAGCAAACTAATGTGAGAAGTTGAGTGCAGATGAGGTGCTGAAAAGACGTACAGGTTGAAATCGAGAGACAGTTCGATAACCCAAGAAATATTGGAAAGAAAAGGGAAAGTACCAACGTACCAACGCACTTTCCCTTCTAAGCAAAATGACCAAGTGAGTTTTAGCCAGAGTCTGTACCAGAGCTGTGTTAAGGCTGAAAATCGGATTGAGTACAGATTATTGCAGTGTGAGAGCAAGGACACTCAAAACAGGATTGGAGGGGCCTTGGGCCCGTGGGAGAAGAGAAATCGAATGGAGAAGTAAAATAGAAAGAAAACAAGTGATAAGGTATTGTGGAAGAACCCAAGACTACGATGAAGGGAGAAAGGTGAAGAAGTTATGTGAGTGAGAACAAAACAAAAAAGACATGACATAGAAAAGTCGAGAGTGACTGACCAACCTCACTTGGAAGGGAGAACCTAGTCAGAAGGGAAAGAAGAGAAAAAACCGCACTGTAAAGCCTACCCAGACTTGCGAAGCAAATGTGCAGGAGGTGAAATCAAAGATGACAATATTCCCATTCCAGCAGTAGGCACGTGGAGCAGAGTGGAAGCTGGATAGATTTGCTGTGGGCGAAAGTCTCAGATAGAAGTTTGTACTAAGATTTTGTCGTTTATGTGGTGTTGGAGGAGAAAAGAAGAGTGCATAGCATAGTATAAATGAGGTTCGGAGGTGAGGTAGGAAGTGGAAAAGGAGAAGTCTGTTATGGGATGGTGAGGCTTGAGGAGGATGGAAGGCTAAGAGGCAAACCGTGTTTGTGGGATCGAGGTGAAAGAGTTTGTAAGTTTAGCTAGCAGGGAAACATTCAACGGATGCAGCAGAGTGATTATATCAAGTATTCAATGTCCTGGTTTAGAGGGTTTGAGATGATGATGGGCGCCGACAAAGGACGACGAGGATGGACAACGTGGATGGTGGGGAATGGCAAAGTGCTATAGTTACAAGAGTAGGTATATCTGGTTAATCAATGAAAGTCCCAGGATAAACATACAAAATCAAGTTAGAAAACCATCTCTTTCGATGGTTTCAGCCAGAAATCCCATCTCAATTGATTAAATATGAACCAACGCTCCTCGGCCCTTGATAGCCAATTCTAGATGGCCTTGGACAATGCAACGATGTTCGACCGTGAAATAAAGTGACATCTCAGGATTTGTATAGTAGTATGTAGCGTTGCATGTTAAAAGCAGCCAAGAAACGAACAGCTTGCTCATACGACTGTGGCTGACATATAGTACTTGGGAAAGAGCTGCTGTCTAGTTCATGTCCAATGGTAACATTGGCCTTGGGTTGGCACAGGGGTTCGAGGCAATAAATCGCTTAAACGCATGTCAATCGAGAATCGTGATCGCATCTGAATTTTGTATCAAGTATGAGGCCCGATGTCGTCGTTCCCACTCGGCCCCGGATTTGCGGACCGCTATCAAGGTCGGAACCATTGTGGATCCCGGCATTCCGGCAGCGCTCGAGCCAACATCTAACCCCAAATCATGATCTTGGCCCAGTACTTCAGCGTGGCCGAACAACCGGTTCAACCGACAGGAGCTCGTCCTCCTAGTGCCTAAATTCAACCTCCTAGCTCATGTTACGCTTGCTGTAGGGTATTTTAATCGAACTGAGAAAGCGGTTAATAACGCGACAACAACATAAATTGGCCGGAAGCACTTACGGGAGTCAGGAAAGATTCAGCAACGAATCTAGCTCTGGCGTTCAACTGCAAGATGTCAGCAACCGTCTTTGTGGCTAAGGAGAGTTCAGGGGCACGGACGAAGAGCTTCATCTCCGAAATCTCCTTATCGACCTCCTCCATGAATTGAATTATAAAGTCCACCAGCTTGTGCTTCAGCATCTCCTCGGTGTGGAAGTTGGTAATCAGGAAAGAAATATCATATCCCTAGCAAGCCTAGTCAGCGCGGTCGTTCCACGTACACAAGCCGTATGCCACGTGGCATTGCCCTTTTTGTGAGCTCGATCAGACAGCGTTTAGGTGTCCCGCCTACCTTGATGGGCTTTCTCCGCAAGATGAAGAAAGACTCGGCTCTCTGTGTCAGGAAACGGGTGAATTTGTGGACCAGGATGTGCTCAATCTCGTCGGCCTGCTTGATCTTGATGGATATGCGCACAGAGTTGATGCTCGGCTCGATCAGGACTCGCTCGTTCTCGTTTCGGGCGATGGTCAAGGGGGTCAGGAGGACTTCGGGGGATGTCTGCGCCTCGATCTCGGGGACATTGTGCCGTTCGGCAGTTTGTGAAGCGAAGTTGGAGAGCGTCAGGGCGGCCGTCAGACTGCTCCGGACAGCCTGGAGGTAGGGTCGAAGGGACTGAGACTATTCGGGCAAAGTTAGTGCATTGGAACTGAATCCAATTGCAAAGGGACTACTAACCATGATGGCGAGACGTGGCCGCGTCCAACCGTTGAGATGCTGAGAGGTTGGAGTTGGATGTTGACCGCGGGGTTCGTGAGGTTCGCTCAGCCGGAAGCCTGACGTTTCGTAGTGGGGCGGGTAGCACCGCCGCAGCTCCACCTCATGCGTAGCTGTCACCGTTCCTTGCTGAATCAGCTGTACCTGATAGCTACTTCACGTGATCTAGAAGCAAGCTCCTTAGTGGCGATCCCCCGCCTGTACTCTATAGATGCATATACCTAATAGCTTCCATTGATGGGTTCAGATAGATAATTAATAAGGCAATTTACTTGCGGAATTTTTTGGGAAATAGCCGCAATTAGAGCCATTCAGGAAATCAAGTTTTTGGGTCAAGGAAATTCCGTTGATGACCAAGGGACGCCCCTACTTCCGAAGACGTGGAAGACTGTCGAAAGCGGTAGCAGATGCGGCAAAAGGACGGTACAAGAGGATATCCTAATAAGCGGATCGGCAGCTGAAACGGACCCTGCAGGTACACCGCTTCCCCGCTAACCTTCCGCGTGCTGCCTTGTACTACTGCCCGCCCACTCCAAGGTATCCGTACTGACGCAAACCGCCTGGTGCCTTCAACAAACTTCTCCTTGACCTGCACGTTTCGCAGTCGGGATTTTGTTCACCATACTGCACGTATCGTTCTTTTTCTCTGCAACAAGTCCGATCAGCATTGCAACGAAACAATGGCGTCAATACCAGGTGAGCATCCTCAACAAACCACCGGATTCTCGGCTGTTTTCTGACTCTAGAGGCAGTCACCGTTAGCCACCAAGGCACTAAGTACCAGGTTGAAATCGACACCTCCTCCAATGGCGAAACATTCAAGTACCAACTCTACAGCTTGACGGGCGTCGAGCCTGAGCGACAGAAGATCCTTGTCAAGGGCAAACAGGTCAAGGACGATGATGACATGTCCAAGTTCGGCCTCAAGGCCGGCGCCACACTCATGATGATGGGCAAACCATCCGGAGAGAACGCAGACCTCGCCCGTCCCAAGGAAGCTATCAAGTTCGTCGAGGACATGACCGAAGCAGAAGCCGCCCAGCAAGAGGGCGCCACCCCCGCCGGTCTCACCAACCTGGGCAATACTTGTTACCTCAATTCGACCCTCCAAACCCTTCGATCGATCCCCGAACTCCAGGGTGCTCTCACCACATACAAGTCAGGCAGCGGCGGTGCCGGCAGCAGCTTCGGTCTTAGCTCGACCGATATCGCTACCCAGCTCACGGATTTGTACAAGAACATGTCGGAGACCCAGGGTAGCATTCCCCCTCTCACCTTCTTGAGCACTTTGCGCATGGTCTACCCGCAGTTTGCCGAGAAGTCCAAGACCGGAGCTGGCTACGCCCAACAAGATGCCGAGGAGGCTTGGTCTCAGATCATCTCCCAGTTGAAGCAGAAGCTTTCCGAGTCGGAAGGCTCCTCGTTCATCGACAGATACATGGCTGGAGAGCTCCAGTCCACACTTGAGGTTGACGAGCAAGCCGCTAGGGACGGTGGCGAGGAGCCGGTCAAGTCAAGCGAGACCTTCCTCAAGCTCAACTGCCACATTGATTCATCTGTCAACCACCTACGTGACGGTATCCTGGCTGCCCTGACGGAGAAGCTAGAGAAGAAGTCTGCAGTCCTGGACAGGGATACGACCTACACCAAGAAGTCGCTGATCTCACGACTGCCCAAGTACCTCACTGTTCACTTTGTTCGATTTTTCTGGAAGCGCGAGGTGCAGAAGAAGGCCAAGATTATGCGCAAGGTCACCTTTCCCCATGAGCTTGACGTCGTCGAGTTCTGTACCGATGAGCTGAAGAAGGCTCTCATCCCTGTGCGTGACAAGGTTCGCGAGATTCGCAAGGATGAGGAGGATATTGAGCGGGCCCGGAAGAGGCGTAAGATCAACCCTGTCGACCGAGGCGACATCGCTGGAGCCTCTGGTGGTCCCGAGGGCAAGACGGCTCTGGAGAAGGCCAACGATAGGAAGGCAGAGAGATCTGGAAAGCCGGTCGCCACGACTTCCGACGGCGATACTGAAATGACCGAGACATTCAAGACCGACGCCGAGGTCGAGGCCGAGAAGGACGCGGCTCTCATCGCCGCCAAGAAGGAGCTCTACGCTCTGGTCAACCAGGACCTGGTCAAGGACGAAGGCGCCAACCAGTCTGGAATCTACGAGCTGCGTGGCGTCGTCACTCACCAAGGAGCGAGCGCCGACAGCGGCCACTACACTGCTTACGTCAAGAAGACTGCCCCTGTCGACCCCAAGACCGGTAAGAAGGGCGAGGAGGACGGCAACTGGTGGTGGTTCAACGACGACAAGGTGTCAGAGGTAACGCCCGACAAGATCGATGCTCTGGCCGGTGGCGGCGAGTCACACTCTGCCCTCATCTGTCTCTACCGGGCCATTCCCCTTCCGACGATTGATAATGATGGTAAGACCGAGTAAGAGTTCCAGCTGGCACGGGCTGTCGGGAGCATCGACTTGGCGTTTTCGAGCGGTAACGAGGTTATGGGAGGCATTCAAAACAAGCCATTGACGGGGATAAAGCACTAGGGCATAGACAGACGGATCGACGAATGTAATGGCTACAGTTTCTTACACATGCGGTGATTGCTACAATTATGGTTACAATGGTGTACAGCTCTTGATGTGTTATCATGCGACCGCAATGTGATGATCGCGGGGAGACAGGTGAGAAGCAACAAGTTACTCGCTTCGTGACGGCGTGCCAGCGCACCCTTGGGCGAGGCCTCATCTGCACGGAGGCGACCCCTTGGCACTCGCAAACCAGGTGAGCATCGTGCGGAGAGTCCAGTTGTCGACGCCGCCCGCTTCATGGCTGCGGAGATCGCAAACTTGATGGGAATGGTTCGTCCGTTCTGGTCAGCTCTCGGGCCTCTTGGGCTCCCTCTCCTTTATCCTCTCCTCCAAGTAAGTGAGCTTCCTCTCCCAGTTGCGGCGCTCCGTGACCAAGCGGCCGCGCTGACCCTCGAGAAGGGAGATTTGCTCATCGTATGGGGACTCCCAGAAATTTTTCCTTTCCTGAACATGCAGTGTCAACATGCACGAGTTCTAAGACAAGAAGAATAAGTAGGGGGTGGTTGTCCGGCTTACCTCTTTCCATTCCTTCTGGGTCTTGAGGCCGGCGCCGTAGGTGGCGCCGGTAAAGATGATGGCGGCACAGCCGGCAGCCGTGAGGCCGGCGCGGAACTTTGTGAAGCCGCTCATCTCGGCACTCGGGGTGGGAGGGATGTCTCTTTTCTTCCTCCTGCTCTAAACGACTTGGCCGGTTCGGGAGAATCACCAGTATTCTCTCCAGACTTCCCTCGACTGCCTACTCCTTCGGTCTTCGACGTGTTTCGGGTTACGATATGCCGTCGTCAATTCGTACTGGCCAAACGTCTCCCACCGGGAGCGCGAAGAAGACGACGAAGATGTGGACGCAGTCGAAGAGTCGGTAGTCGTCGAGTCAAGAGAGTTGGCTCGCCTGTGACCCTGCGAGCTATCCAATAGTGATTGACTATACGGGCGTCTCTTGATCGTCTGTGGGGAATGACAATCGCGCGAATCGAAGTCGTAAGCGGTGTTGCCGTCCGTCGTAGTCGGTGTCGAGGTCGAGATCGGCGTCGTCGGCTCCGTTGGGGCGGGCGATGAAGGCCAAGCAACAAGCTCCAGCGCAATCGCGTCTGATCCGGAAGCGGAAACGCCGTAGTGATTGTGGTGGGAGCCCCGCTGGAGAGGGCGACCCAGCGCTCTTAGTAATCGGCCTGCCAATGCTGGGCCTAGCGTGACGTCGTCGCCCTGGGCCATGACTGATGCAGCGGGCTTTTTGTGAAGCAAACAAGGTGCTGGAGCAGAGAGAGTTGACAGCTTTTAATAAGAGCCCGGTTTCCCGTCTCCGAAAGTTGGTACACTCGATATAAAACCCGTGTGGAAGAGAAACGGAGAAAGAAATCTTTTTTTTTTCGATCACTTGGCGCCATACAACCCCGGAGCGAGCGGAAAGCTGACAGAGATAAGAAGGTAACAGAGAACCGAACCGAGTCAACTGCCTTTTTTGTCTTCTCAAACGGGCTCAATCATTTCCACTTCTTTCTGGTGCGTTGAAACAGACTTCGTGAGAGCTCCTCGGTCCTCCCCTCCCCACTTACCCTTGCTATCGCCAACACCTAGTATTTCTTGCACCCATCATCCCTTCCCCCTTCGTCTTCTGACCTCGTACCCTACCACGCCTCCTTGCTCTCTCTCTCCCGGCATTAATCCGCTGTGGCAGAAAAAAACAAAGTCCCTTATTTTTCCCTCTCTTATCAACTATAGCCTAGTTGGGCTTGCATGGGGGGTTGCGCCGCCCCTGCCTGTCGCAGTTCCTCCTGAAACACAAGTCACGGCACACGATTGAGGGTCTCCGTCTCTGCCACAATACCTTATTTCCTCCTCGGTCTTTCGCTCTACCCTAGCCGCATCAAATCAGACAGGTGTCACAGAAGCCGATGACAGCGGATACATGGGACGCAAGAAGCGGCAAGTGCACGCGAGGCGTACGTGGAGAACGATCTCGTCTCGTTCTCGGAGCCTAGAGAGATGTGATGCAGGGGGGGCGGATTTGCTTGTCCTTTTGCGGTGCCGAGGAAAATCAGGAAATCAAAGAAACATTGGCAGACGGACGGGAAGACAAGGGAAGATTTGCAGCACTGCCTCCCCCGCATAGGCTTGGCTGATATATCATATATCGCGGGATGATGGGCTTGGACCATCGGCTTCATCAGTCAAAGTTGGCTCTTGCAGGGTGACAGTTTTAGTGCTATGTATGCCGAGGCCACCTCCATCGTCTTCTCTTTCCACGAGTGCGGAGCTGAGATGGAGCGGAAAGGCGGGAAGAGCGGGACGGCTGTGCACGAAGCCAAATCGCTCATCGGCAACGTCATTCAGTCGTCGTCTCAACTTTATCCCATTCGCTGCCCATCATCTTGCAAAACTCTGCCCTTATGCACGAACGTCACAGGCACACCCATACACATTCTCCAGATCGTAGCCGCTGTAACAAAGTAGTATAAGCTAACTCGACATTCTTGCGCGCTCCCTTAGATCGCCTCCCGCTTCCCCGCGAAAGAGACGGCGTCAGCACAGATCGCATAACCTTCCCACTCCCCTCCGAGGTTACACCCGCTCTTCGAGACCACGAGCCCGATCTCAGGCTCTCAGCAGCACCGGTCGCCCGGCATGACAACCCCCGCGTCTTCGTCATCCGCCACGGCGAGACGGAGTGGTCCCTCAATGGCCGCCACACGGGCAGCACCGACATCCCCTTGACTGCCAACGGCGAAAGGCGTGTGCGCGCCACCGGCCGCGCTCTCGTGGGCAGCGACCGGCTCATCGTGCCCAAGAGAATCTCTCACATGTGAGTCTGCGTTCAGTCTCGGCAGCCTGGCTTGCCGCTCTTCAGCTTCAGCCTGCTCTTAATATTCAACGGGTCACATCATAGTGCCACCCGTCTGTCTTGAATCAAGACACATCTTCACGCATGATGAACATCAACTAAAGACATGTCAGCTACGTCTCCCCCGTAGGCGTGCTCAGCGCACCTTTGAGCTCTTGAACCTCGGCATTAGCGACGACCTCCCCTGGAAGTGTCATGGCGATATCGACGGCGACGGGCCTTATTGCAACGCCCACGTCGAGGTAACTGAGGATATCCGCGAGTGGGACTACGGTAACTACGAGGGCATCACGTCCCCCGAGATCCGCCGCATCCGCAAGGAGCAGGGCCTCGGCGAGAACTGGGATATTTGGCGCGATGGCTGCCCCGGCGGAGAGTGAGTATTGCCCTAGGCCCTTTTTCTATCCTGCTCTCTCTGCAACCTGCGGAACCGCCTGGTCAAAACCATCGGTCATCCGTGTGCTACTTGGGAGGGCCTCCAGATGGACAAAAAGAAAACCTACAACGATGCTTCGATGGTTCAGTCACCATTGGTTGCATAGTGCCAGGAGAAGTCTACCGGAGACGACGGAAGGAACACAAAGACGCCGACGCTGACCCATAATAGGAGCCCTCAAGACGTCACTGACCGTTTGGACCGCTTGATCAAGGACATCCGCGAAAGGTGGCACAAGCCCGTCATTGGCAACAAGGATGCGCCCAATGGCGACGTTCTCATCGTCGCCCACGGCCACATCCTTCGCGCCTTTGCCATGCGCTGGGCCGGCAAGACACTCCAGGACGGCCCGGCGTTCCTGCTGGAAGCCGGCGGTGTCGGCACTCTGAGGTGAGTTCAGCCCGGTTGCAGACACAGCTGCACCTGTAGCGGCCGGCAGTTTGCTATTCGGCCGTCATATGCCATGGAACACGAAGCGAAACTGACGCGTGTGATGTAGCTACGAACATCACAGCATTGAGGAGCCCGCCATCTTGCTGGGAGGCGCTTTCGCCGTCGACATCATCGAGAAGGAGCAGCAAGCGAAGGAGGCACAAGAGGCACAACAGGCCCAAAAGTAAACCTTCAGGACTGGAGAACGAGCATGCAATGCAGCCCGCGCACATTAGGCATGTGTTAGGCTGTTGCTTGCTATAGCACAATCCAAGGTCCAATTCCTCATAGAACCGTCATCCGTGGCTGAATGCCCTGCCTACGCCTTGGTTCCCCGCGCGAGGAACACCTTCCTCCTCATCCCCTCCTTTCCCTCTCCATGACCGTGCCCATGGCCATGTCCGTGTCCATGCTCATCATGCCCGTCACCATGCTTATGCCCATGATTGTGACCATCCCCGTGGCTATGCCCATGCCCTCCAAAAACGATGCCGCTCCCGAGCTCCTCCAAGGCAAAGTCCTTGCCCGCGCCAGCTTGCTCAAAGATTGCGCGCATCCTCTCCTCGGAGAAGCCGTGGTGCACAACCGTGTTGGCCGCCGGCAGCGCGGCGTCCATGGTCCCGTGCGGCAGGAAGTCAAGGATGACAAACACGCCGCCGGGCCGCAGCCGCTCGACGATGCGGCGCGCCGAGAGCTCCGGGTCGGCAAAGTGGTGGAACCCGAGACCGACGCCGGCAACGTCAAAGTCGCGGAACCGGCCGTCCGGGTCAGACGAGGCGGAGAACGCCGGCGGGTCCGGATCGGACGGGTCCGTGAGGTCGCCTTGGTAGGCGCGCATCTCGTCGGTGGTTAGACCCTGCGTTTTAAGAAGAAGAAAGATATGTCAGTCAGCCAAGCTTGCCGTGCGTTTTTTCTTTTAACCACCCCCCCCTAATTCCCTCCCCAAACTTGCGCAGAGTTTTTCCTCTGGTGTTTGGTCGTGTGAAGACTTCCCCGTGCGCGCGCCGTGGCCCGTCGGCCACGGCCGAGGGAGGGGAAAGGGGGGGGGGGGGGGGGGGGGGAGGGACCGGGACAACATGTAAGATGGGATGAGATAGTGAGATGGCGGGGAGGGCAAGCAAGTGTGTCCACGTCATTTTTCCAAGACAAGGGGGGGAGGGTGCAAAGGCAAGGTCAGCAGGGCTGAGATGAGACCAACGTGAGGTGTGAGAAAGGGATTTCAGACGGTCAGACTTCTGGACCGCAGGACCCCCCTTCCCATGGCCCCCCTCCTTATTGTCTGTGCAAACAGAGTCTGGGCACACTCTGAGGCGAACGGTCTGGTCTCGCGTACGCTCGAAAACTCTCCCCCTTCACCACTCAGATTCATGGGCGGAACAGGAATAGTAATGGTGTGTCGATAGGGGCTGGGGGTCCTTTAAATTTTTTTTTCTTTCTTTCTTTTCCTTCCTTTCTCTCTTTCGTTTGGTCTTTCCGAGTCCGTGTTTGTGTGCCTCGGGTGCCGCGTGTACAAATCAAGGAGGGGACAGACAAACCAGGCTAAACATAGGAACCATTCATTGCAAGTGCTCACCTGGTTCTCGGCCCGGGCGTTGTAAGCTGCCACCATGTTCTCGGAGATGTCAATGCCGACGCAATGCGTCGTGAACTGCGCGAGGGCCTACATCCGTCCCAGTTCGTCAGCTTCAAAGTGTCACCTGCCTTTCAACTCTCACATCATACGCTCTTTACGTAAATAAACAGGGGGGGTGGAAGGCAACCGCAAATAGAGTAGTTACACAGAAAACGTATGTACACACGACATGCGAAACAAGCAAACAAAACAAACAATCAATCAACCGAGGGACACCACCCTCGAGAAGACTCGGACAAACAACACTCAGAAGCACAGAAAAACAAGAAACCCAGAAAGGGGGGGAGAAAGAGGAAGGGGGAAAGGAAATGGCAAGAAACTCACCCTCGATATCAGGCCGGTCCCGCAGGCGTAGTCGAGGAGTCTTACGCGCTTGCTTCCCGTAGCCGCCGGCAGCGGTTGCGCGGTTTCGTCCTCACTGCCGTCGACGCCATCACTGTCCTCGTCCTCGTCGACAACCCAGTCCGCGCCAATAAAGTCCTTGCGCTTGCGAACCTCCCTCTCGAGCTGCAAGGTTGTCTTCTCGTACCTCGCGTCGTACTCGGCAGCGAGTTTGCTGGGGGTGGCGACTATATTAGCCAGGTCTTCTTCACTTTCTTTTTTTGGTTTGTTCAGTTTATCCCGGACATGGGCAACGGTAGTACAATATGCATCGAACGCGTCTTGACGTTTCGCCCGCCCCCCTCGTTCCCCCTGGCCGCGTCTCTTAAAGTCAAGAAAGGGCCCACCAAAGTACCCGTACATGAAAGACTGGCGAAAGAGGAGTACCGGTTTAGTCTGCAGGAACCCGGGGAAGAGGAAGCGGACAAACCGGATGTGACTCGGATCGCACTATCATGAGCCCTCTTCGAGGATGGGCATAAGGAAGCCAGACGGGGGTGTGTGCACGCACTTGAAGTAGGCCTTGTTGACCCTAGCCGTGTCGGTATCAGCCATGGTTTGTCTTTTTCGAACTTGCAGATTGGTGATGGGTGGAGCTTGCACTCCGGCCTCCTATACTAGAAGGGGTGCGGCTCTGGTTTTTGTTGAAAGTTCGTTTTTTTCTTCTCTTCCCCTCCGTCGCTCAAACCTTGAGTCTTTTCTTCTTCTGCTTTCCCCGCCGTTGATTGGAGGGCACAAGAATTAATGTTTGGGATCCCGTGTGGCCCGGGGGAGAGTGAGAGAAGAAATGATACAAAATGGAAAAAAGCAAAACAAAAAAACAACAACAATCCGTTTGGAGTTGCTGATCACTTGTGACCTCTTATCGACCAGGATAACCTTCTTTGACGTTGTTTTTATGATTTCTCGCGGAGAGTTTTCGGTCACTTCGTAAGGGCGGGAAACGTCCGGCCGGACGAAGCTAGAGCTCGGCGATCGAAAAAAAAAACAAGGGCTCCAGTCCCGCACCAGAGGGCCCGGACTTGCTCCCCGAATGAAATAGATGGGGACGAACGTGTTCCGGAGCGGGGGTTTGACCAAACATGTGGGGTGGCAGAAGAGAATCCGGCACACACGAAAAGTCACGTGAACATTATTGTCTGAGACCATTGAGATGTTTTTCGCGTGGCGCATTTCGGGGTTGTGCGGTGCGGGTTTCCCGTCCGGTTCGGGCAGGCCGCAAAACACCGCCGTGTTGGACGTACGTGTAGTGCCTGAATTCAGGCGGAGGGAGATGGAGGAATGTTCTGTCCCGTTTCCTCCTTACTAGACCTCCACTCGTCTACGCATCCTGTAGTCTGACAATGGTCGCCGAGCCAGGGAGGGGGGTTTGGTGGAACCAGCTTCTGTGCCCCCTCCCGACTTCTTCGCCCCCTCCCCGTCTTGAGGACCAGGCTGCGGCTGCCTCGCTTTTTCCAACGCTTGCGGCCATACCATGGCGGACCCTGGACTTTTTGGCGTCCATGTGTGCGTGTGCGTGCGTTTTGTGATCACTGAAACGACCCCGGGCGGGATGCGAAGACGCACCCGGGACCCAAATCAGGTTACAGCCGCGGGGCCGGCAAGAAAAGGGGATGCCGTCCGAGGTCCCCACTGCAGGCATGACAGGTTGGACGGCAGGACCTGACACCTCACTCGCATCGCCTCCGTACTCAGTAAATCCGTACACCCGCACGCCTCCCAGATGACGAATGCAAGCGTCCCGTCTGGCTGGCGCAGAGGGTGAGACGATGTAAAAGACGATGTAAACGGCTCACAGTGCTTGCCAACCAGAGACCAGCAGTAAGCGGTGGAGGTATGTACCCCGAGCATTGAGATGCACGCTTACGAAATAATGGCGCCTCCGATGAGGACACGAAAGAGCAAAGGGAGTCTCCCCTCAAGCGGAGGCACAAGAGCCGGGAGAAACGGGGGAGGACTAACGGTGTGACCGGGGCTGACGGGGGGCCGGACTTGGACAGACAGCTGCCGTGGGCAGGTTTGGTGGTAAAAACAAGCGGATCGACGCCGATCCTGCTGCAGGCCGCATCGGTCCGCAGCTTGTGACTGCAGCACCATGCGGGCGGTGACGGGCCCAAGCGGCCATGGCTGGAGTCGCACGAATATCGTCGAGGTGTGTTAGTGGTTCGAGCTGCCCCTTGGGTGCAACCAGCCATGCAGGTGGCCCGAAAGAGGGCCATTCGACCAAGCCCAACCTGAGGTCTGAACCGGGAGTTGAGCGACGTGCACAATGGGTGATGCCCGGTTGCCCGGGGGCTGGGCGCGCAAAAGTTTGACCAAGTACTGTACGTGGTACATCGTCAACGGATGGCTACCGCATGAAGAGCCAGTCGTTCTTTGTCCTTCCATGACCTGCATCTTGCTACAAGGTGTTGGCAACATTGGACACGAGCTGGGACAGATTTCTTCGGCGATGGGCGCCCAGGCGGGGAAGATGGAAGATGGGGTGGGCGAGGAGCAGTGAATGGTGGGAAATGGCAACCCCTCACTGCTCTCCAATCGGGCGTTTGAATGACGAAAGAAATCCCTAGATCTCTCATTCCAGGGTTATTTTTCACCGTTTCCACAGCCTGGTTCGATGTGCGTTCGCGTATCCAGGCGTCAGGAACCCAGAAGAAGCCGGCCACGATGCAAAACACGGTGGCTCTCTCGGCATGGCCAGGTTGATACCGCCGTACTTGGCCTTCATGCCATGCTTCCGCCGCCGCCGCCGCCGCCGCTGCGTGGCTTGCGACGACTCAGGTTGTCAGATCTGACAGGTCATTTCCCGCTCGTTTGTCGACCAACAACAAACACTCGTATCGCGCGACAGCAAGGCGTCCTAGGGACACAAGCTGCACCAACGGAAGCGAGTGGTCCTTGGGTGTATAAATCGTTTCCTTTCGGGAAGCTCTGCTGCAATTGGAAATATCGATGTGGCTCAGGGACGGGACCCAACGAACAATCGAGTACGGAACGGACGGGGGCCCGAGTCGTCACTTTCTTTCTCAGTGGCAGGAGCACGACGAACTGGTCAGATGTTCTGCTCACCGCTGCTTTGCCGCCCTCGTGCGTGCTTCTGCGGCCTCACCCATGCCATGTCTGTTCGTCCGAGCCAGCCAGACTCGTTGCTTTCGTGCGCGATGTCCCCATACTTGCCTCTCCCCACCATCTTGTGTGTGCCAGGTGCGCCGCTCACTCAGCACACTCCTTCCTTCCAGTGGACAGGGAACTTATTCTGCAATGGCGTGATCAAGTTGGGACGCGGCTACGTCCCCAGCCACCGCCCAACCAACCGTACATAGCGGTTTTTTTTTTTTTTTTTTTGGTTTTTTTTTGTATTTCACCCCGGCGAGGAGTTGAAGTCATCCTTACGGAAGTCTTCTCCCGTGCCCCTGGAATTTCGTCCCAGTAGACAACAAGGCATCAAATATAAAGATTTCAGGCTTCGGGGAAACGGTGCACCAAGATCGATCGCATCGCTGCTAGGCCGCTTAGGGGTAATGCACCCAAGAAAAGTACCGTAGCCGGTTGGATTAGTGCGTTGCGTCCCAGCTATACCTCAGCCATAGTGTGCCGTAGTGCAGTCGTCAATCGCCGTTTGGCGTGGAGCTGACGGGACTCCTTTGCTAACCGAACGACGGACGGTGCAGGACCAAGGGACCATGGCTGGGGAATTAATGCGCAGCGGGAAGTCTGTTGGGCAACCGTCAATCATCCATCCGGCATGGATCCTAGCCTATGGCCTGGTCCGTCGGCTACCTGTCCACTCCTTGCCCTGGCTGCTGCGGGTGTCTCCCACTCCACTGGCTGCCCGTCCAGCCTGCATGCGGCCGAGGTCCCGTGGTAGACGGTTGATGTGACCAGACACACGGATACAGAGATACATGCAAACGATGAAGTGGCCATATGGTCGTAGCAATCCCGTTGGTCCATGTCTACTGAGTGAGGCTTATCGTCCAATAACCTCGTTGTACGGTGGTTTGGATCGGCTACAGAAGCCAACTGGGGACCAGGCACCGGCGTTGGGCACGAGAAAAAAAAAAGGTTGTCATCCGGGGGAAGCCGCCGTGGATGTCGGGCGCAGGCAGGAATTTGTCAACAGCAGTCTGGTCAAACCAGCGGCCCCGACATCTCTCGTCCTTCGTCCAGACGACTTCAACTCTGCTCGCCCTTGAGCCCTCATCCATGGCTGTGCCCTCGTCTTCCGTCTGATATTCATTGTTTGGGAGCCGCTTTCACGACTCCGTTTCAATTTCCACCTATAAGCTTGACTCGACTCGATCAACCAATCTCCCTGCTCGTTTGAGATGGTGAGGGTTGCCAGGTTCGCCCGGCTGGCAGGATGTGTGGCGGCGTCGCGACGCGTGCGACGTAAAGCCGTCGCACTGTGACGCAAAGTCACTTCTCCTCCCACTTTCGTCGCGCAGTGGAAGCCAAAATCGTCGACAGGCCAGACGCCCAATGCCCCGTGCTCATCTCATCGGGTAGGGTAGTCCGGTCGGCAAAAAACAACAGCGAAGCGGCTTGTCTCGGTATAGAGAGGTCTTTTCAGGTCATCCTTTCTTTGCGCAATCGGAAAGGCGTCTGTCTGGATGTTATGACAGATGAACACATCGTCGTCGTCTCGTTGTAATGTTGCCGCCGCCGCTCTCATCGTGGTCATCGGGTTTGACCGGTCTGGTTTCGCCGCATGGTTTGGCTCGTTCTCGAACCAATTCGAGAGAGTGGACAGAACCTCCCTTGCTTCCACTTCCACTTCTGCCCTCCGACTCTGTCACTCGCCACACCATTCCACAAAAAGGGTTCAAGACTCGGCACTCGTGAGGAAGGGGAAAAAAACAAAAGGGACAGGCAATGGAGGGGGGAGGGGGGCGGCGAGGTGTGGTCACATTGGCCTCCGTTCTTGTACTTTGGGACTAAGACACCGCTCACGACCGGCACTCGCAATGTTCCCAAAGTCAAGCCAAGGCAAGCTTGGACAGGGATCAGGCAGGTAGCCAGGCGTGAGTGATTGTCGAAGCCCAAGTGACTACTAGGAGGCCACCCTGACTATCACGACAGGCGAAGCAGGAGGATTGGAGCCTTTTCAACCAAGAGGTCCGTGGGCAAGCCTTGTTTGGCCAAGCAGGCTTTAGATTCTTTTTGGATTGAGATGGGAGGGGAGGGCGCGAGACCGACAAGAGGTTCTGAACAAGGAACCCGACGACGACGGTAGAGGAGGCGGTTGAAGTGGTGAGGAGGGTAGTGGTGGTGAGGCAGCGAAGGAAGGTAAGGGGGGGAAAGGGGAGGGTGGTCGTGGCCCGCCCGTGGAGAGCGGTGCAAGGGAATCGAAGGTAAAAAATGGGGAATCTGGCGGGAGCGACGGGCCAAAGACGGCTGCATGCATACGCTTTTCGTCACGTGACGCCCTAAAGTCAATGTCCCCTGATCTGTCCAATGACGAGGACCAAATCCTAACCTGCCCTCCCTCCCTGTCTCGCGGGCGGCCCAGTGGCCTGGATTCCGATTGCTGATTGCGAAAGTACCGGTACTGAGTGGCGGTCGAGGTCGGTGTGTGGCCCTGGGAGCACGCAAGGCGTTGGGATCAGTGCGTTGACTGTTTCGTTGGTTGGTTGATTGGTTAGTCGGCGAAGATCTTGGTGTCATGTTCAATGGTCAGTCTTGACCGCACCAACAACAACCCGTGCAACGAGACGATGTTTGCAAAGAACCTCAATGACTGGCCAGATACGATTGGGCGGGCTCCACCCATCGGAATTCTCTGTCTATATCAGACTTGACATTTGCCGGTACGAGCACGTCAGACAACATCAATTGAGCTGTTCTTCTCGCCTTGCCAGTCTGTCTGCCTAACCTGACCCTCCCGGCGCTTGGCATCAAGCTACATACGTGGTGAGCCGCGGGGCGCAACGCATTCATCCGGGTAGCGTGGGTCAGCCAGCGGCGTGCGCGCCGCTGGCTTGCATGCACGCAATATCGGCTCCATGATCGTACTCGCCAGTCTAGTTGGTCGGGCTAGCATATTAGCGATACGCCTTCCTTGCTCGGTTTTGCTTCAATGTACTGACATCGACCGATGGTGGCTGACTTGTTCCGTCTCAACGATGTGTCCGATCCAAGCTTGAGTGATGCGCCAGTGCCGCACTGTCGTACACGCCTTGGGTCAAACTGCTCTGCTGCTCCCAGAGTTGCTCATCGACCCGTCACTGCTAGTCGGACGAAACGGCTGTGTGAGGCCCGTCCCGCCGTCAACAGTGGTGCCTGCTGTCTCGCCTGCTGCGGACTCCTGATTTGTACATGTCCATAGCGACCCGGCCGGAGTGCTCCTTGGCGGTCCTCGTGATATCTCAGTGTCTGCAAATGAGATCTTCCACCCTAACCTGGTAGGGGACCTCAAAACATTCGGTGATACAGTTGCATTGTTGCCCATGTATTCGTAGCCCTCAACCCCTTCGGATCAAGTGCCCCAAAGCAGCCGAGACAGGACCCAGAAGGGCGTTCAATGTAAGGCTCGACGCAAAGTTAATTGGACGGCTGTTTGCCAGCATGTCAACGAACCTTGGGGTAACATTGCTTCTACCGAGACCAGACGAAGACAAGTACCCTAGAATTTCGTTAGCGGTTTAGAAAACTACATAAAGGTGCTTGCCGTTGGCCAATCAGGTTTTGTAGACCGCCGACTCCCCGAGGGGCACAGTGATGGTCTGCGCGATAATAACTAGAGGCTAGATGGAAGCAACACAACCCGGCCAACAACACTGGGTTTCTGATCGTCTGGGGATAGTGGAGGCGAGAGAAAAGGAAAATAGTTTGCGAGAAACAAGGAAAGAAACAACCCCTGAAGACTGAACAATCCCAAGGGATAGAGCGAAACCCCTAAAAGAAAAGTGCGCTTAGAACCAGTTACAGCTTACATTGCATAGCGCAATCCGGAGCTGGAGATAGCCATTATTTTCTGGCGGCTCCAGCTCGAAAAATCCGGCTGGTGTGCTCGTGGCGCCGTCCATCCAATGATTTGATTGCGCTAGAGTGAAGATGGTGGCTGTCGATCCCGGGAATTGGGAACCGTGTGAGACGGCCCATTTCTCGCGCTGTCCGAAGCCATACCACGATTCGTAAACCCGAGTCACTTGGAGCAATTCTGTTGACACCATGCATAATAAGCCCGTGAAAGCTGGCGCGGAAATCTCCCCATAAACCATTGGGGGGTCCCCCCCCCGCGCAGGAGAATGGCAATGCGGAGGCACTGGCACTCATTTGGCGCTTGTCATGACGTTCAGGTCTAATTAGTCGAGTAACACAACAGCATTCTTTTCCTGCCTTTTAATTATTCTTGATACCGGGGTATGTAGGTAGTGATATTTATGTACTGTAATCCATTGAAGCGGGACTCGTGTCTGTGATCCTTTTTCTGACTTCGTCTCCGTTGAACTCGAGCGTGCTAGGTTTGACCAAGCGCTGATGGGCTAATGCTAAGTCGGG